TAAGCACGTAGCATCTGACAGTAGGCCTTTGTTATGGCTAACCACGTACAGTATTTCACCTGCATTGCGTAATGTAACCTGTAACATGTTTCGTTGCATGCTCAAATAGCTTACAGAGATGGCGTAGTACAGACATATATAAGTTTAATCAGAAAATCATAGTTTGTGGTTATGACGTAATCTTATCTGTGAAATGTGCTGAATAGTGAGACTGGGGTCCAAAAGACTGGAGAGGCCCAATAATGTTTCAATACACTGATGTGCTCATTCACTCACTAATATGGACACTTTATTCCCTTGTTCCGGATAGAAGGTCCACCTCTACTAATGGTGATTTTTTTTCCGTGCCAGGTGCAGTCAAGCATTCAAGGCGACAGTGGCCGTTCATACGACCTGGACTCTGCCCGTTGAGAACGACAGGTTCATAGACATGCTTCCTCTCCTGCTCGCAGTGAGTTCGCAGCGTGTCACTCACACACACCTCTTATTCACTCACTACGTCTGACCACACAGTTCTTTGTGGTCATACGCAGTATTGAACTACACATATGCCGGACCTCTGTGGCTCTTGTTCGAGGGTCGTGCCGATGAAATGAGCTAGTGTTCTTAGCTGTGGTTCAACTGTGCCTATTGTATGTGTGCCGAATTTTCGTGGCGTATAATTTTGCTGGTTGGCTGGTTTTCATGTAAAATTTTTTTGATGAGTAGTGAATTCCACTGATGGTTTAGTTGTGTGTTGAAGCTGTTGTGTGAAAGAAAAATTATGTCAATTTTGAAGGTTGTAACATTTTCTCCTCCTTCCTCCTCCCCTCTTCTCTGTCTGTGCCATAGATAGTGGGTAAGAGTGTCGAGGGACAAGAAGATGATTCCCTGCTGAAGGCGTTCATTGACCTCGGAGAGCAGTGTCCCAAGTTTATGAGGCCCCAGTTGGACGCCACCATTGAGCTCATGCTGAAGGTATTACGACACTATTGGATCTGTATGATCTGCGATGATAGTTACCGCTGAGTGGGGAATGGAGGCACTACGGCTCGGAGTTACAGCATGCAGCACGAAGCCATGCCTACACCGCTCGTCATCGTGTTAGAGTCAGACACACTGAGGAGGGCGGAAAGGTCCGTCCTTAGTTTCATTGTGTCCTGATATCTGGTTTTGAATCTGTGTCCTGACTCAGGGGGTATCAGGACACACTCTCTCTTGTCCTGAATCTGTGTCCTAACTCAGGGGGTATCAGGACACACTCTCTCTTGTCCTGAATCTGTGTCCTAACTCAGGGGGTATCAGGACACACTCTCTCTTGTCCTGAATCTGTGTCCTAACTCAGGGGGTATCAGGACACACTCTCTTGTCCTGAATCTGTGTCCTAACTCAGGGGGTATCAGGACACAATCTCTCTTGTCCTGAATCTGTGTCCTAACTCAGGGGGTATCAGGACACACTCTCTTGTCCTGAATCTGTGTCCTAACTCAGGGGGGTATCAGGACACACTCTCTCTTGTCCTGAATCTGTGTCCTAACTCAGGGGGTATCAGGACACACTCTCTTGTCCTGAATCTGTGTCCTGACTCAGGGGGTATCAGGACACACTCTCTCTTGTCCTGAATCTGTGTCCTAACTCAGGGGGTATCAGGACACACTCTCTTGTCCTGAATCTGTGTCCTAACTCAGGGGGTATCAGGACACACTCTCTCTTGTCCTGAATCTGTGTCCTAACTCAGGGGGTATCAGGACACACTCTCTTGTCCTGAATCTGTGTCCTGACTCAGGGGGTATCAGGACACACTCTCTCTTGTCCTGAATCTGTGTCCTAACTCAGGGGGTATCAGGACACTCTTCTCTCTCTTGGTATGCGTATGATTTTTCTTCTCTCTCTCTCTCCCTCTCTCTCTCTCTCTCTCTCTCTCTCTCTCTCTCTCTCTCTCTCTCTCTCTCTCGTGGTGGTGGCAAAGATAATGGCTCTGACAGACCTGGAAGACTCGTGGAGGCAGCTGGCTCTCGAAGTCCTGGTGACCACTTCTGAAAATGGTCAGAACAACATACAACATATATATACGTCTTTGTGAAGAACATACCTCAAGTCTCTCTGAAGCAGAGAGGCGTCTTATGTACACACGTGCATATCGAATCTCTGTTTCTCCACAGCTCCTGCAATGATGAGAAAACAGAGCCGCTACCTTCCAGATATAGGTGAGCCAATTTGTGTAAAAAATTTTAATCGTGATAGTTTATGGTATGTACATTAAACTTAACGTCTCTCTCTCTCTCTCTCTCTCTCTCGTATCAGTGTCGCAGTGTCTAAAGTTCATGTTGGAGGTCGAAGAGGACTCGGACTGGCTTACTGCCGACAACCTTGAGGACGAGGACGACAACACCAGGTGACTCCCTTCAAAACCTGTTTTTAACCTGCTTGACTGCTTTTAAAAACCTGTTGGACCACTTCGTAACATTTTTGAAACCTGTTGCCCTTTGTATTTGAAAATGCTATCCTTGATTTTACTTGTTAACCTGTGCAACATTACCCTTGAAACTCTGTTCTCAAAACCTGTTTGACTGCTATCAAAAACCTGTTTTACCAGTAATGCCATTGTGGGCGAGACGTCACTGGATCGCCTGGCCAATGCTCTTGGAGGGAAAGTTGTTCTACCTCACATCATAAGAAATATCACTTCAATGCTCCGCTCAGGTATGTGTGTACATACGTGCATGTGTGGACAGGAAGGAGAAGGGGGAGGAGGGAGGGAGATGGAGAGAAGGGGAAGGGAGGGGAGGAGAGGGAGAAGGGAGGTGGTGGAGTGGAGAGGGTTACTGATAGAGCTGTGTGTCTCTGCCACAGAGGACTGGCATTGCAGACACGCGATGCTGATGGCCATCTCAGCAGTCGGAGAGGGATGCGAGAAGCAAGTCCAGCCCATTCTGGGCGACGTTGTCCAGGCTGTTCTACCATACTGCCAGGACCAAGTGAGTGAATCACAACTCTAACCTAGTGCAAGAAAGTTTACTTTAAATCGGTGAAAATGTTTTCCTTGAACCAGACATATATAGGTACGGGTAATGAAAACGTTCTATAATGCTGAGTTGGAAAAACATTTGCGCCCTGCGTGTTTAGTTAACTGGTTCTTGAAGAGGGTTAACATCTTGCAACTATCTCATCTGTCTCCACAGCACCCTAGGGTGAGATATGCAGCCTGCAATGCACTGGGGCAACTGGCCAATGACTTTGCTCCAACCCTTCAGCTGAAACACCACTCAAAGGCAAGAATTCCTCCAAATAACTTTTAAGTGGTAACATATCTTTGCTTGCAATGATTATTGACACAAGCTTTTGCAGCTTGCCTTGTAACGTAACTGGTACACTGGAATAATATTCTTGCGTTAAGCTTTACTGAGTTGCAGTGACACCTGATACAAATGAACGCAAAATCTTGCGTTGAAATTGTAAACCCTTTCCGTATCTCCCCCAGGTAATCCCGGCTCTCCTCATAGTCCTCGATGACTACGCCACACCTCGTGTCCAGACGCACGCTGGGGCGGCCCTCGTCAATTTCTTCGAGCAGTGCACACAGAGTGTTCTCTCTCAGTACCTGCAGCACCTTGTTCCCAAACTGAAGAGAGTTCTTGAAGTCCGGTTGGATGAGGTATATTTCCTACATAGTATGTATAGAATCTGTTGACTGGGGAAAAAGTGAAAAAAAGTAGCCCAACTTGTAAATTTGTGAAGAAAACTTTTGCGAATCAAAGTAGTTTTTTGTGGAGAGATCTTTTCCAGATCAGTGGATTTGTGAACAGAGTTTTGAATGTCGAATTTTGCGGAGGAAACGTTTGCAAATCAGTTGTGTGAGTGTATGTAGGAAAGAGGGAGAGAATATACGTGAACATGCGGACGTGTTGTTGGTGCGTCTAGTGTTGCAGCTGTTCCTGCATTCGGCTGGTGAGACTTCCGTTTTCTCCCTCTCCCTAGCTTTGCCAGACACCATTATCCATTCTCTCTCTCTCCTTTGTTGGTCATTCATCACACGTGAATGACCCACTGTTCCTGTACGAGTATATTGCGTGTCTTAGAAACCATGTGGAATGTAAGCCACGTTCCCGTACACACAAGTAGCATTTAAAAAAAAAAAAACCAAAAAAAAACAAAATAAAAAAAAAAAAAACCCCCCGCCCCCCCCCCCCACCCCCCAGCACCATTCCCCCACCTCCCCCCCACTCCCCACCCCTCCCCTCTCCCCCCCCCCCTCCCCGCACCCCCCCCTCCCCCCTCCCCCCACATCCGCGCCACCCCCGCCCCCCTCTCCCCCCACCCCTGCCCTCCCCCCCCCCCTTTCCTCCCCCTCACCGCCCCCCCACCCCCCCCCCGCCGCGCCCCCTCCCCCCATCCCGCCGCCCCGCCCCCCCCCGGCCCCCCCACTCCCCCCCCCCCCCCCCCCCCCCCTCCCCCACCCACACCCCCCCCCCCCCACCCCCCCCCCCCCACCCCCCCCCCCCCAACCCCCCCCCACTTATTCCCCCGCCCCCCCCCCCCCCCCCCCCCCCCCCCCCCCCCTCCCACCCCCCCCCCCCCCCTCCCCCCCCCCCCTAGCCCCCCCTCTCCCCACCCCCCCCTCTCACTCCCCCCCCCCCCCCCCCCCCCCCCCGCACCCCCCCCCCCACCCCATCCCCCCGCCCCCCCTCTCCCCCCACTCCCCCCGCCCCCCCCCCTCCCCCCCCGCCCCCCCCCCCCCCTCCCCCCCCCTTACGAACCCCCCCCCCCCCACCCCCCCACTCCTCCCCCCGGCCCCCCCGCCCTGCCCGACAAGTCAAACCGGTGGCATTGTGTAAGCATTGCCATTTTGTAAACAACAACAACAACAACCTTGGGCTACAAACGAAAAAGATTGCGTTTCTCGCAGTTTTATTCAGTAGTCTTTTGCTTACCTTTTCACGCCCATACACACCCACACACACGCACACACTGCACACACACACACGCACACACACACACACACACACACAGCTGCACAAGACGGGGAAGAAGCTGGTGCTGGAACAGATCGTGACGACCATTGCAACTCTGGCGGACAGCGTCGAGGCTTATTTCATACCACACTACGACCACTTCATGCCCAGCCTCAAGTACATCATGATCAACGCAACCGACAAGGAGTACAGGCTGCTGCGAGGGAAGACGATTGAGTGTATCAGTTTGATGGGACTCGCCGTGGGACAAGAGAAGGTGAGAGGAGAGGCGAGAGGAAGGAGAGCGAGAAAGAGAGTGAAGTGGGAGGAATACATAGTGAAACTTCTGAATGCGGGACACCTTGCAAACTGCGAAACGTTGTTTATTCGGAGGTGTCCCTTATTCAGGGTTAATACAATAAACTAGTATGGGGCAGGCAGAACCAGGTGTCCTTGAGAGAGGTGTCCTTTATTCGGTAGGGTCCTTTTTTGAGAAAAAAGAGAGAATAGTTTGTTTTTTCTGGTCTCAGTTCATGCAGGATGCTCAGGAGATCATGGAGGTCCTAGTCAAGGCACAGGCAAACCAAGGAGAGATGGAACCAGACGACCCTCAGGTATGCACAGTATTTGTAATGGGGTTGCTTAAAATATACTGGTTTATGATTGGGTATGTAGTCAATTTACAGTGGGTGACGGAAAAATTTTTACCGGGTGTACACTTATAAAATATACCCCCAGGTGACATATTTTTTACTGGTTTCTGTTGTAAATTTCCAGGTCTCGTATTTTATCAGTGCGTGGGCGAGGATGTGTAAGATCATAGGACCAGGTTTTGTGCAGTACCTACCCATTGTGATGGGACCACTCATGCAGGCCGCCAGCATCAAGCCAGAGATTGCCATAGTCGACTGTGAGCCTGTTTTACCTCTCCCTCTCCCTCCCTTACCCTTCTCTCTCTCTCCTCTCTCTCTTCTCTCTCTCTCTCTCTCTCTTCTCTCTCTCTCTCTCTTCCCTCTCTCTCTTCCTTCCCTCTCTCCCTCCCTCCTCTCTCTCTCTTCTCCTTCCTTTCCTCCACCCCTCCTCCCCCCCCTTTCTGTTTATGTGTTGTCTCAAAATGCAGCCGACACTGAAAACAACTTCAACGAAGACGACGGCTGGGAATTTGTGACTCTCGCAGATCAGGTGATCCTCACATGACATCCCCTTCTGATCACATGACCACATGCACCCTACGTCACACACACACACAAACACTTGGTATATTATATACCCACACCATGATTTGTTCTTCTTCAGCAAAAGTTTGGGATTAAAACGGCAGGACTAGATGAAAAGTGCACTGCCATGCAAATGCTGGTCGTCTATGCCAAAGACCTAAAGGAAGGCTTTGCCGACTTTGCCGAGCCCGTGAGACACTCTCCACGTGTTTAGGACGTCCTGTTATTTCCAGGACACGTTTTTTCAGGTCGCACAGATCATGGTTCCCCATCTGAGGTTCTATTTCCACGAGTTGGTACGGGCAGCTGCCGCTGAAATACTCCCCCATCTCCTAGGATGTGTACAGGTCAAAGGTCAGTCCCAGACCACACCCACTCTTGACAGGTGCATTTTCCCGTTAACCCCGGTCACTCTTGGTGCATTGTTGTTTTAACCCATTCAATTCCAGGGATTGAGGTGGTGCGGAAGGTGTGGGGTTACATGTCGGACAAGCTGCTGGAGGCGATAAACTTGGAACCCGACCCCGAGATTGTGGGGATAATGATGGACTCTCTGTGCCGGGTGAGCAGTCCCATTCTCATGTTTCCATGTTTCCATTCCCGTACTGTGGAAGGTCCTGGACTATAGCACCATAGTCATGTGCATGTTAAAACACTTGTTTGGGAGAAATGGGATGGATATCTAGTATGTAGAATAGGAATAGGGTCAGTGAGATATAAGAAGGGACTTTATCGTTGATTTGACATTCTTCCCGTTCTTCCCGTTCTCTCCCAGTGTATAGATTTGTTGGGAGCCAACTGCTTTACGGCGGAGCAGTACAGCAAGCTGGTGGAGCTGCTGAAGGACGCCATGGAAATGACGTTCTCTCGAGCCAGCGAGAGACTCAAGAAGAGAGAAGATGAGGACTACGACGAACAGGTTGAGGAGGAGCTGGAGGAAGAGGTCTGGATACACTTTATCTTTGCACACTATAGTTTATAGGTCTGTATATTTGCACCCGGTTTCGATATCTTGCTCAGATCCATTAGCATCATAGGTTAATCCATAATTATGATTTGCAGAGTTTAGGTCTGAATTGTATACTAAGTTAGGTATATGTTTGGGTCTCTCTCTGTGTACTAGAGTGTGGGTTTGGAAATTGTCAGGATATCTCTGTATACTACATAGTGCAGGTTTGTATATTTTCAGGATATCTCTGTAAACTATCACAGGGTGAGACTGATGAACAGTACCTGTCCAAGGTGGCTGACGTGATGCACTCACTCTTTGGCACCCACGGAGCCACTCTTCTTCCTCTCTTCGACCAACTCCTTCCCACCTTTGCCAGCATGTTGGTGAGCCTGTGAGAACAAGGGGGGAGTTTGTGCGTACTTCTTCTTAATAAGAACTTGTTGGCTTCTACCAGTGGTTCTCCAACTTATCTTTCCCATGCTCCCCTCTCCCTCCCTTCCTCCCCTCTTCTCTTGAAGGCTGAAGAAAGACCAAGTTACCAAAAACAGCTGTCACTCTGTGTCTTCGACGACGTTTTGGAGTTTGCCAGCTCGGTGTGTCCCAAAAAATTTTATGGAATGACTGCAAAAATTTGTGTTGACGGTGTCTATTTTTTCCCCCAGAGTGCTGTCAAGTATCAGGAGTATTTCTTGCAGCCGATGCTCAAATGCATATGCGACAAATCACCAACAGTTAGACAGGTATATAAGATACGGAGCATATCACACAGGTTTGTGTGTTTAGAGTATTACGTATCGTTGTTTCAGGCTGCCAGCTATGGGGTTGGAGTTATGGCTCAGAATTGCTCCAAGGATTTCTCACAAGCATGCCTCGGTTAGTTCTTAGCCTTATACTGATACACATAATTATAAGCCATTGCAAGTGTTGTATAGTTGCGTCGCAGTAGTGCAAAGAATAGACCCAATTACATCTGCTGAGTGCTGGCATCATTACACAAGCTACAGTTTACTGGAATTAAAAAACCAAAAATTACCTAACACACAATTATAAATCTCTCTTTATACTGTTTCTCTCCTAATCAATTGCAGATGCTCTTTCTCTGCTGACTATGGCGATCCAGAGGCCCGATGCGAAAGAGGACGCCCCTTCCATTAATGCCACTGAAAACGCCATCTCGGCCATTACAAAGATCTGCAGACATGTAGAGACCGGGGTTCCCATGGAAACCATTCTCCCGCTCTGGTTCTCGTGGTTACCGGTCGTCGAGGACAAGGAGGAAGCCCCTCACGTTTACTCCTATCTCTGTGACCTCATTGAGAAGTATATACAAGAACCAAAATTTGCATGATTAGTTAACCTCTCCCCCTTTCCCTTACTCCATCTCCTTCCTTTCTCTCGTCAGCAACAATGCGATAATTCTGGGGCAAGACAACGGCAACGTTCCACGGATACTGCTGATCATAGCTGCGGTGTGTGAGGTCGGCGCTCTGGAGGAAGACAAGCAAGTTTTCATGAGACTCCTCTCCATTGCCAGACACATACAGGTAACTGAACATCCAGTTCAGTTTTCAAGGTCTCAAGAATGCTCTTCCTATATATTATAGAGAGTTGCATTGGGATGAGTCCAACCTAGGGCACTATTTTTCTATTTTTCTTGCCTTTTGTTTACACCCTATTTGTCCATCTTTCCCTTTCTCCTCTCTTCTCTCCCTCTCATCTCTCTCTCCTGCCTCTAAATATAGGCCTCTACGGAGATATGGGAGGTGTGTATGAAGCTCTTGACCCACGAGCAACAGACAGCCCTGCAGTCAGCTCTAGCATAAACTCACACACGCACACATGACGCCCACCGATTACACTACATTATGTTCTATGTTTTGTTCACAATAAGTTGGTTACCAAGCAAAAAGCATGCATTGCGCGGTTGCGCCTGCGCGCGCATGGGTCGCAGGGAATGCGCATGCGCGTTTAATGCTTCTTTTCACGTGATCTTCCACGAGACACGAGTGTTTTTTGGAGGTTGTCCGCAGTGCCCGGGATTCCGTTCGATTATCTGGATTAGAAGGTACGATACGTGTATCTGAATGCATATATAGTCCTCGATACACGGTACGGTGCCTTCGTACCGCCAGATAGGCTTTGCGTCCGTGTAACACAGAGGGTGTGCTCTTATTGGAACCGCAGATCAGTACCGGAAGGAGAAAAGATGTCGCGCCGATCAGATAACCCGCTGGCCAAAGTCATCGTCAGGAACTACCCGCTTACGACCCCAGAGAAAGAGCTCAGGGACATGTTCGAGAAAATCGGAAAGATTGACGATTGTAAGTGATAATCTGTTTGTCACACCTTGAACAGTATAGCTCCTAGTTGTGGACACATTTTTTAAGTTTCAATGTGTGTTTGTGTCTCTCTGCAGTCTTCATGCCGCAGTACAAGGACACCAGAAAGCCGCGAGGCTTTTTCTTTGTTCAGTACAGGAAGGAGGAGGATGCCCATGATGCCATAAAGAACCTCAATGGAAATGTAAGACTCTGCAATTTGTATACACCGCCGTCCTCTCCTCCCCTCGTTTGTTGCGTTGTTTGAGCATCTCTTTAAAAATTTGACCTCAATTTGGGTGTTTTTGGGCCTTCTTTGACCTCAATTTTACAAAGTTGCATTCGAATCTTGTTTCTTGTCAACTTTCTATAGCCGTTTTCGCGATAATGTGAGAATTACGTGATTTTCCCTACAAATATAGCTTGCCGCACAACCATCTCCCTTCGAAATTTTCCCGCTCTCTTAGAAGTCCGTACATAGTATTATCTCCAATCCAGGATATTGGAGGGATGAAGCTGGCCATTGAGATGGTGCGAGGTGACAAGAGAGACAGAGACCGGGGTGGCCGGGATTCCTGGAGAGGGGGTGACCGCGACCGCAGCAGGAGGCGGAGTCGGAGTCCAATCAGGGGCAGACGTCGCTCTCCCAATAGGTGTGGACTCTATATTTCTATATTTACTTTTGATATCGATGCTCATAAAAGCTGCCTTGGACCCCGAGCTTGTGACAAGTCCTTGAAATTTGCGAAAAAGTGTATGGCTGTCGTGTGTAAGCGCTTGTTGAAGAGTCTGCCCTGCGTGCGATAAAGTACTTCTAATGTGACTTTGGTTTAGCATAATACATGTATGTATGTATGTATAAACAACTGTCACTTCTTTGTATGTATGTTTGTGTGTGTGTCTCTGTGTATTCCCCCTTCCCCATCTCATTCCCCTCTCTCTCCTCTCTCTATCCCTCCCCTCTCTCTTCCTCTCCCTCCCAGGGATCGTGATGGTCACAGAGACTGGGACAACAGAGGTGGTTATGATCCCCACGGTCCTCCAGGTCAAGAATTTGGCAGAACTGGCTATCAGGGAATCCCTCCTGGTAAACTACTGCGATCTAGTTACCCATATATGGATTCGTATGGGTACAATGCTCAAACACGTGCGTTTCTAGTGTGCCGAGGGTTTGCACTTTACTGCTTTTCGCTATAGTTGGCATTTTTCAAGCAATTCCTAAATCGCTCCATACCTACGCTGATGGTTTAGCGATGTTCTTGTTATGAATTTTGATAAATGCATGTAGAGGCCTTAACTGTGGTTTGTTCCTGTCGCAGTTCGAAGAGGGCTTTTGGACCCCCCTTGCCCCCCGCCTGGAATGCAGGGACCACCGTTCCCTCCCCATGATGGAATGGGTCCCCCTGGGGGGCCCCCTCGTGGTGGACCCCCTAGTAGTTATGGGGGGCTGCCGCCACACGATGATATTCGCCGTGGACCCCCTCCGCCAGGTGACAGTGGTATGGGACCCCCTTCTGGAGGGGGGCATTTCGGGGGACCCCCGCCAATAAGAGGAGGATACGGAGGCAGTTCTGGTGAGTCTGTGAATTGAAAACGTGTGTGGGGGTTCGAATCATACGCAGGGCAGCTCGTTTCGAGAGTTGTCCGTTGCGTTGTTTACCCTTGTTTTACCTTTCGACCTCGGTGCTGTCTACTAACTGTATATACATTGAGACTTTTCCACACGTATTTCCAAAACTACACATTTATTCACATCAATACCATGTCAACAATCCAAAGCAACGTTGGTTGGCCTAATTCTCTTGTTGACTAGTACAATTTCCGAGGAAAGTTGTAGTCACAGAGATGTGGTGAAAATGGCGAAGGGAGGGAGGGAAGAAGGGGAAGAGGAGATTTGCAAGGGCTATATAATATAAAGCGGTAGAAGACTTAGATCGAAGCTGCTAGTATAGGCCTTCTGTGCCAATGTTACAGGGTATATGGAAGGACCACCGCATGGAGTTGGGGGCCATGGCGGATCACGTAAGTGTATTTGTAGGTACGTAGTCTATGAAGAACAAAAGTGTAGGCATAGAAAGGGCTTGCAAAATTTAAAATGTGGCAATTGGTACAGAACAAAACAGTGGGGATGGGGTATATGTCAGTGCAGCTATCTGAGAAAAAGAAACGTGTATTGGCACAGTGCAGGTGTGTAGTTACATATTCTACGTCTTCAATTCTAATTAATGCCGCCCAAGGTATGGAGCTGTTCTGACTGCGGCCTACTGTCAATTTCTTTGTCTAGGAGGGCCTCCTTCTGATTATGCCTCGGCTCGTGACCCGTATGGCCCGCCCCCCTCTCGCGGCGATCACCATGGCGACCCATACAACCCCACGGGGGGTCCCCCTCCCCGTGGTGGTGGGGGCGGAGACCAGTACTATGACAGCCAGAGATCCTACAGCTCAGGAGGTGGGGGCCCCCGGAAATACGGGTCCCCCTGGTTCAGGATACTCTACCCCTGGGTCCCGCGGGGGGGCGGGCGGTCTTGGGGGTTCCAGTGCTGGAGGAAGTAGTTACAGCGGAGACTACAGTGCCCCAAGAAGAGGTGGGTATGACAGTTATCAAACTGGAGGTCCACCGTCGAGTTACGACAACTACTCTCAGCCGAGAGACGGATATGGTACTAGTGCCAGCAGCGGAGGAGGAGGGGGGTACAATTCCGGTCCCCCATCCCAAACCTCAGGGGGCTACCCCCCTAATCAAGGCTCCGGACGATATTCCACATCCGGAGCTACCCAGGGGGGCTCCTACGGAAGTGGGGGTTCCTCGGGAAAATATTCAGACCCCTCTGGGGGTGGAAGCTATGGGGGAACCACAGACTACTACGGAGGAGGCACGAGTACCGGTCTGAGTCAATCCGGACCAAAGCCTACCAGTTATGACCGCTACGGACCACCACCGAGTGGTGGTGGAGCTAGTGGTAGCAGTGGCGTGAGTAGTGGTCCGTATGGTCGACAGGGAGACCGCAGTGGAAGTGACGTCGGAACCTACGGAACCCCCTCAAACCAAACCAGGGGAACCGGATCCAGCTATGACCAGTCTTCGAGCTATTCCGGAGGTACAAACACCGGCTACGGAGCAAAAAATTCCAGTTCTGCAAGTTTCGGTGGATCCACTGTGTCCCGCGGGGGCCACGGGGGATATTCCTCCGGCGGACCCCAGTTGGGGGGTACCTTTTCAAACACCCCTGCAGCAAGCTACGGTTCTGGGGGAGGGACCAGCAGCGGCCCTAATCATGCTAGTGGATCTCGTTGGGGGCATCGACAGTACTGAAATTTGGGACTCCTATCCAGCATGATAGCAAGAATCTCCTATATATAGAACCAGACCCTGTACACGCAACCCTTACTTATCTTACTTGGTATATACACAGTATGTACAACCCCCTGTAATAAGCAAGGCCTTTGGGGCTCTCTACACATTTTGGACATATTATTCACAGAGATATTGTGTTAATGCTAATCTTTTGTGCCTTCCCCTGTACCCATTGCTTTTTTTTTCTAATTTCAAAACTTGTGAAGTGAAGGCACTGAAAGAGGTGCAAGAAGTGTGTGTTCTTTGCCACATATATAGTAAGAGAGTATATGCAATAGTAGGGGGCTTCAAGGGGGGAGCCTGTATACCTGTACTGTAGTGAAAGACGAGACAACGGAGAAGTTATGTTTTTCGCTGTTGACAGATTATGTGGGGAGGTTGATGATTGTGAGAGGGAGGAAGAGCCTGTAATGAGAGGGGTTTACCAACAGTGAAGTGAAGTAGTGAAAGCACTGTTAGAAGTGGGCTGATGTGATGTGAGGGAATGTGTGAAATTTAGGGACATAGAGAGGGAGAGAGAGGGGAAAATGAAGGTCGAGGGTTGTATTTGGGCTGTATGTTTTCTTGCTTGAGACGGTAAAGGGGGAGAGAGGGAAGAAGGAATGAGAAGCAGCTCTAAGGACCGAAAGAGAGGGAGAGAATACTGTCTTTTGACTAACATTGCAGCTCTTTCCACAGAGCCAGAGAAATCGTTCGTTTCCAGCAAACAGAAACAGATTTCTCTGTTTTGGCAAGAAGTGCCACCGGTATTATTTCCATACAGCAAGGAGAGAGAGAGTTTATCATAGTGCAAAGGAAGTTGTTCCGTTCTTGAGTTCATTTCCACAGTGAAGAAAACCGTGTCATCAGTTTATCCTCAGTGAATAAAGAGAAGTTGGTCTATTTTCACGGCAGAGAAACTCCAGAAGTTTATTTCGTTGCAACGACAAGTTACTTCGCAGTGGACAGGTGTAGGCCACAAGTTGTGTATTGTTCAACCTGCTCCTGTCATGATATGTCACATCATATGACCTCCCCGATGCTTGCCAGATCTACACACAAGCATGCTCTACATTATAGGATTGTATATACCCGTCCTATAGGTCAGCATAGCGGGACGTATTTTTCAGGACACTCCAGCACACCTTTTCAAATCTTTTAAAGTTTACTCTACACTTTTCCAGAAATCATGAAACTCAGGAATTGGGACACTATAGAATAGTGTAAATCGCAAAGGGAGATGATGGGGAATAAAGAAATGTCTTTTGTGTGTTTCACATGTTCCTTTCCTTGTCTGTTCTGCAGGTTTGCCTACTCCTGTTCTCGTGTGTACACCACTCCGTATTCATCTCCGGGGACAGTGAAACTCTCCACTTGCCCGCCGCCCTCAGATCTTGTGAATTCCACCCACTCTCCAACGAATCCCTCGTTGAGAGTGCTGGCATGGTTGCGGGCCGCCGTGCAGCGAGATTTGAAACTCGTCTTCTCCGCGCCAGTCGAGAATGGATCGCTCTCCGGAGGAGTCCAACAACAGTAGGGCCTTCCTGTCATAGACTGTACCAAGTTCAACCACTGCAACCGTCTGCATGGTGTGTTAGTGCATAAGTTCTCTGTTAGGTTTTATAATTATAGTACATATCTACTAAACAAGGGGCTTAAGTATTACATTTCATCACTGTCTTTAGTGTTTATGGTGCATTTGTGTGGGTGATGAACTTATCCTATGACGATGAAACATAAAGTAAATATTATTAATGGTTGCATGTAAGCCAGGTTTCAGTGTACCAGTACACATACGTATTAATTGACGTCGCACCAATAGGTGCTATGTACGTAAGAGCCTGGATTTAACTATATAGTTTCTCACAGGTCCCTGTGCTCCGATGCTGTAGTTCCCAGTGTAGTCTGAGGGACTAGGTGGAACACTGGGTCCAGGCTTAAGGATCTCCAGTATCTCGCTGACCGTCGAGATGATTTTCTGACTCAGCTCTATGATTGGCTCGTGAGAGCTGCAACCGTCGCAGCTGTGCAGGAACACGAACCCAGTCTTTATTTCATGCTGCATAAAAAGATTTTTCCACTGAATTTCATACTGCTATGGAGAAAAGTGCTTTATGACATAATAATACAAACCATCCATTGTGAGTTTGCTCACAGTATATACACTGAATTTTATACTGCATAATAACTACTATTTGCGATGATACAACGGTGCATAATAATCTACTATTAATTACGATTGATAATATTATGTCACTGAGTGTAAACCACGGCTCACAGCAAACTGAAGCTCTGCATTATATCCGTTCATGACGCCGGCTTTAGTTCTGAGAATGAAGTCCCCCAGTTGCCACAGTTCCCAGGGGTGACCAAAACCAGTCCCGTCCGCGTAGGTGTAGGCTGGTTGCATCCACTCCCGAATAGTCTCTCCATCCAGTATCTGGAAGGGCGACGCAAAATGTTGCTCTATATTATGCTTTCCCAATATCAATCAATCCACTCAGGGTGGTCATTTGGCCTCCCCCTTGAACGCTTGATAAAATGCTGTTACCTAATTTTCCACATTGCTCCTGAGGATGATTAGATTGGACAACACGGTTACATTTTATACTGGCATCTTTTCGTAATGTTGCGTGCGTGTGTGCTTGCTAGCCTGTTCAGTGTCAATGTCGTAAGGATACTCTGGTCTGAAGATGAGCTTCAGTAGCTGCGAGAGATCATTGGCACTCGAGTACATCTGGCCAGCTGGCGCATCCCAGCCTATATCTATCAGCTCTGTAGGGAAAGTTAACGTAGCATACAGTAGGTCCACAAAAAAACAGGTTTACTGACTCACTTGCTATCGTCTTGTCCGGGTAATAACCGACGGCCATGTTTTTCACCGCATCGGGCGTGAAAGAATTCCCAGAATTTGTCATGTTGAGAGGTTTTAACACCATCTGGGCCACCTGTTCCTCCCATGGTGGGCCTCTTATCGTCTGGAGCACTCGACCGAGAAGACCAAAACCGAGATTCGAATACTCCGGTTGGAACCCCGGTGGAAACATGAGTTTCAATTTAGAGAGATTTTCGTAGATTTGATCATCCGTGAGGTTGCAACCCGTGTCAAATATACCGGGGCAGGGAGGGTTTCGGGACAGGCCAGACATGTGACAGCTCAGCTGCCGAAAGGTGATCCCGCGACGCGTCTGAAATGGGTTTTTGATGCTAAACTGGGGGAGGTAGGCCGTGATGTTGTCATCCAGGGATCTCAGTTCCCCAGAGTCACGCAGCATCAGCGACATGAGGGCAGTAAATACTTTAGTGATTGAGCCTATTCTAAATCCAGTGTCTGCAGTTGGTGGACCCCTAGTCGGATCTGAAAATAAAGTTTTTTTGTCTAACAGTTTCCTAGGGAGAAGTTGAGCTCACCCGACATGTTGATAAGGCCGTCTGCGTGCGTCCAAATGACGGTGTCTCGGTACACCACGCTAACCACGGCTCCGCCTGGCGTGCTTTTGATGAGGGTGGACATGTTTTGGCCCAGTTCCTCGAGGAAAGGGCCCAGTACTTTGAGGAGGGTGGAAGGATCGACTGTCGGGTAAGGATAGCTGGGACAGAGGGTCTGCCCGACCTTCCGACCTTCCTTCAGCTGCCATGTCAGCCCCACTGACCCGCTAAATAGCAGAGAGAGAGAAAGAAAACCTGCAACTAACGGATAGACCATCTTGCAGAGAGACGAGCACGTGAAGGTAGGCGGGGCTATCCATGTAAAAAATATGTCGCTGACCGGTAAATTTTGGGTGAAATTCCACATTTTTTCGACCTCGACCAACCAACCGCGTGTGGCAGAAAGAGGGGATGAGCGCCGTCCAAAATGGCCCAAAACAAGGGGATTTGGTGTCCCCGCTACCCGACTATGCTCAAGTCTTTATGTTTCTCCGCCAATTCGGGGAGCTTCTAGCTTTCCCACCCGTCTCCCTGAGCGAACTTGAGGATTTTTTCCTAACTCGTAAGTTTCTCGTTTTGCAAGTAGCACTAGACCACTGACGCCGTTTACTACCTAAGGGAGTAGCAGAAAAGTCGAAATGGCTCTTCCCTGTGGCCGGCGCGGCTAGTCTGCGTGCGGCTTCTCTCTCCGCGTATTATTCCAATTGGAGCCCAGTATTTGTACCCGGCCGCGCGCGCCGGCCGGAGCGCGCGCACGCGCGCCGCGCCAAAAATAATACGCATGCGCACTGCTGCAATTGGTGTAGGGCACCATGATGAGGAAGATAAGGTGGTTGGTATCCATTGGCGACTGCTGATGTCAGTAACCAGGAGAGAGAATCGGAGAGATTGGAAGAAGATGGCAACGAGGGTACGGAAATATTTCCCTTATGACGTCATCAATATAATTTTTATATTTCAGTTTGCTGTGCGAAGTGGGGTGATTACCCAGGGGCTCCCCTACTCTGATATTCCAGTGGAAAAGAGAATTCATATCATGAAGGTGTATACATTTGTGTGTCAAACATTTATATGTTAGAAGTTAGTAATTGAGAGGGGAACTTAATGTAAACATTGTCCCCCCAATTATCTTGAGCATTGCCAACATTTACATATAGGCTTTCAGTAATCCTTTACCACTCTCATTATCTTTTTCTCATCAAGCTATAGTACATTCAAAGTATAAAAAGCACACATACACTGTACCTATTGGCCCATCTTTTTGTACAGACAGTTCAGTGATCTGTATATATAGCCAGTGTTAAAGAGTCGCATGTGTACACATCAAATGTAGGGAGAGTCCACTTCTGCTTTCGCTTACTTTTTATTTATGGTATATAATAGAAGGCTCTATAATAATTGCCAGGCAGTTGTCGTCGCTATTACAATGTAAGCTTATCTGTAAATGTTTGTGATGGGAGTCTGCGGTAAATTGCCCCAGGGCAAGGCAGCGTAATTCAATGGCAGACCATAATTGTTTGTATGTAAACATTTAGCTGGAAATGTGTCATGTACACGTCGGATTTCTCAGAATATGTTAGTGTAGGGAAGGTATGTAGGTAGTATGGAAGGAAATTTTTTGAATGTGGTACTGGTTTATCACATGTCGGGACTTGTAAGGGAACCGATCTCATTATGCTACCTAGCAGCAGCGTCACTGAACAACTCGGAGTATTCACATGAACAAAATGACGGTGAAGTCACCGTAACCATATGCGAGTGTCGATACCGAAAATAGAGAAGAGGATGTTTGAAAGTTGCACACGTCAGTTCGGTAGATTTGCACAGACATGCACCCTGTGACGTGTCAATGTTAGCACTCTTGTAGGTCGACTGCACACGGACGTGTCGCAGTGTGCGACGGTGCATGTTTTAGAACTCGTGCGAGTGGCGAAATGGGTGTAGCAACTGTCCTACTAGAGGAAGTTGGTATGGTGCAGGCATACACGGCGTTGTCGTGTCAACTACGCCTGTTTCCATTAACGGCACCTGTTTGCACATGTCTTTACCAATCATTTGTGCGTCGAAACTGTAGCACTGCTTGTCAACAAGCCCATATTTGACAGTTTGTACACAGCTCTCCCAATCTCCCCCTTTGCCTTCCTTCCCTGCCCCTCCTCCCTTATCCTCTATCTTCTTCCGACTGCGCTCTTGTCACACAGGGTCCCTCATGGTTCTTCACCCCTTCTTCTTTGAGTTGTCTAACCTCTATTACTTTTTGGGGTTTCCATCGCTCACCTCTTCCTTCCCTCTTTTACCTCCTCCCTGTCTATGTACATATGTCACTCCCCTTCCTCTCTCTCTTCCCTCCCTCTTCCATCTCTCCCTCCTCTCTCTCTCTCTCCTCCTATCTCTAGCTAGCATGTGAGGCTCAATTTGACTGTAACCTGCCCTTCAAAGCAGAGCTGAAGAAACTGGAGTTGGCTTCAGACAAACCCATTGGAGTTGATCGATTCGGTCATCGCTACTGGCTCCTTCAGGTGCTGGCTACGTAATAGAGAGGAACCCGCTAATCCGGTCACCAATGGGACAGAAGAAAGGGCCCATTTTAGTGAGGTGACCTTATTCGAGGATTTAAATTGCGTTAATAACTGCTTTTGGGGAAGAAAAGGTGTCCTTTTTAAAGAGGTGTGCCCATTCAGGGGTGTCTTTAGAGAGAGCGGTTCAGCTGTAGAATACAGTCCTATAATTCCGCACTTCAATTTCAATGACAAAAATCAACGGGGAAGATTGTGAGATTCAGCAGGTAATTCCAACATCTATAGGTAGACTACTTTGTAGCTTTGCACAACACTGTTTACTCTCTCACAGTTTAGCCTGTCCCCTACCATCAGTCTTTCATGCTCCCCCCAAAAATTTAAAGGATTCCCCCATTCGTTATCCGTTTCCTTGGAATCACCATCCTAGAACCTTTGATCCATTAAACAGTCACTTGTACTTTGGTAGACGCCTGTACTCCATGAATCATAACAAACTTGTTTGCTAGTATAATTCATTTTGACCTCATCTGTACTACATTGCCTGGGGATAGAAGCCTCTGTACTACATTAAAGCCTGTACTCCATGAACACTTACCACATGTGCAGGACTCGTTTCATGATGTGCGGTTGTATAGAGAGAGTGAGTATGATGTAATGCCTCCTGAAGGAAGTTCCTGGGCCCTGCTTGCCAGGTAAAAACAGCTGTCCCATCCGTGGACTGCGCTGTCCAGTTTAACGACAACACCACTGTGCACTCCTATGCACACAGGTCCATCAACGAACTGGACGTCCGGATTGCGAATCTGGTGGCCAAGAATGAGGTCTCCCCTGACGACAAAGTGTCAGGGGAAGAGGAAGAGGAAGAGGAGATGGAAGTCAATGTGACAGAAACTGACAAGTGTTTCATGAGTCAGTCACAAAGAATGTCTCGTCAGACAAGAGTGACTTCCAGGGCCAAAAAGGAGGGGAAGAAAGGGTCTAAAAAACCACCAAAGGCAGCTGGCAGAAACCGGAGGTTGTTTTGTCTGCAGAGTTGACAACGACTATCAAAATGTGAGTCTGTTTTGCGAGTGTTAACGGCGTTTTCTGGTTTTTCCCAGCAGCTTTTGGCCGTAGGGCCAGGTTGGGGTAAGGTGTTAGTCCATGCAGTGATTCAATACAACAGCAAGCCAAGTGTGTTCCTGGGGGAATGTTATTTGTTCCAGTCGTGTCCTCTTTTTGTTTGTAAGCAAGTCCTCAAACAAACAGAGGGATTTCTGTTTTGTGTTTTGCCACCTGGTGAATGAGTCGGTTTTGGCAAATGATAGGTGTGCTAACGAATGGATATGGAATAGTCCTCCTTACAATACAAGGTGTTAAGAAATGTGGTCTCGCTAATTAAATCGGGCGAAACCAAGAACAGCTATATACGTACGTATCTTTTTACACAGAGGGACAAATTTTGCAAAATTCGCTATGGGATATAAACTTATTCTGAGTGCACGAATGGTTTATGTGGCTTCTCTTTCACCTGTCGTCGTACGAGAGAGGAGGAAGACCTCTAGGTGCCGGCAACGGATGTTTTATTGGCCGATCGCACTTTGCCGGAAATCCTGAAGCGCCACTTTAAACACACCTTTTCCTTGTTTATTCCTCTTTCTCATCCACAACAAGCAGCTCAAGCATAATAAGATTTTCTCTGACTAATAATTATAGTATACTTGGTCCATCTTATGGGATTACAGAATGCACACGGTCCATCTTAGTGGTGTAATATACAGAGTTATGTAAGCACGTAAGTGTTGGCACGGACAGAGTTATGTAATATTTGGTCCTTCTTTTATGTAATGTTAATCTTAACAGTTTTATGTAATTGTACTTAGTCCGTCTTATGACCGTGTCTATGGGTCCACTACCAATCATTTAACGGACAATGAGGAACGTTTTAAGGTAATTAGTGGACGGTTGAGTGTTCCATGTGTAGGGCCTTACGTGGAGTTAATGAGAGCATCTGGTCACGGCTGGGCCTAGCTGGCTACAGGTTCGCTTTTCCTGCTCGTAAAAGTCTCACTTCGTAAAAATCTTAGTGTGCAAATTGTGGGAATTTGACTACCGGTGTGTTATGATACTGTAGGTGTGATGGAATGACTGAGATATAAAACATGCGGCCCTGGTTCTTGGCAGGAATTCGTGTCTCACTGTGCGATTGTATGCTTGGATTGAACGTGTTTGTTTGTGTGTATCGAAATATGCATTCACGTCTTTGAGCGCGTTGAGGCGAAGAAAGGCAGAAATTCTGTGCGCAAATGTCGATATCGTCAAACTGTAGGTGAATCGGTCCTTCCACGGGTATTGGGTCCTGCCACTGCATATGTACGCACACAAGGTCTCCAAATCGATTGTTGTGAGCTCAAGTGTGCCAGCTTTTTACCTCGTGTTGTAGCAAATGTGTAGAGAGGGAGGTAAGGGGAGGGAGGGAGGGAGGGAGAGAAAAGGAGGGTGGAGGGAGGATAATGATAGGGTGGGCTGTGTATTGTAAGTGCTGGAAATTATAGCCAGTTTTTAACAAGATGCATGTTTTTTTTCTGCTTCCACAGATGTTACTGTGTGATTCGTGTGACGGAGAGTGCCACATGTACTGTCATTATCCGAGATTGTGGACGGTGCCTCGCGGGCGATGGGAGTGCCCCTTATGTAACGAGGTAAGAGGCTGCGTGTTTCCGATACAACTGCCCTGATTCAGCAGCACAATCAGCCCTGGTTGTACTGCCCTAGTCAGCTAGACGTAGGGCCCTTAAATCCTACAATATAGCCCTTGTGCAAATGGAGGCCTTCGCAGCAACACAAGGGCCAGTAAGTGTTTCATCTTTTCCTGGTGTGGTTTAGCAACCAACAGCCCTAACCCCATCCATCTTTCCTCCACGTGTTAAGAGAATTGTCTCTTTGTCTCTCTGCTTTTCTCCTCGCACTTCCGAGATGAAAGATGTGCACCTAAGAGGCTACACCCTCTGTGTGTGTGCTGTATTTTGGGTTTGCTGCCGAGCAGAGTAGCAGCTGCTAAGCAGATCTCGTCTTTTGAGGCGGGAACTTCAAAGTCCCACCTCTGTGTCATCATGAGGTGCAAGTCTGAGCTCCAGCCAAGTTTACAAGGCACAGCGGTACTGAATCTGAAATCACTCTTGTAGGCTTTTCACTAACACCGTTTGAGAGCCCAGCCCTTATTCATTGCTTACTCATACAGTATCCCGTAGCTTGCGTTTAAATCATCCTTGGACACGCTGACAACAAAGCTTGTAAGATTTGGGCTATTCCGTGATTTATCCAACTGTCCTTTACATGCCCTGTTAGAACAGTGGACAACAATGATGGTACTCTCCTACTGTATGTCTAAGTGTCGCCAAGTGGAACCCCTTTCTAAGGAATAAAGGAAACCCTTTCTTCCAACAACCGAAATTGATAAGGACACCTCATTAGTATGATTTTGGTGTCCAGATTAGCGGGGTCCACTGTATACTGCATTGCATCTATAAGAAGGAGATTGGCTATCAGTTGAGAGCTTCTAGTACAGTTGTATACTTGCAGTATGTGGAGCTTCAGTTCATGTGCTTACTCCAGCACCCCATGGGAGAGTTGTGTTGTGCTGCCTTCACTTCCTGAGTCACCGCTTCTGGGTGGGAGGTAGTGGTGGGATTCCTGGACTGAGACTGTTTGTCTGCCGGTGCGTGCTGTGTGTGTGTGTTTGGGTGTGAGTAGAGTAGAGTGAGGGAGGAGGGAGAGATGGAGGCAGAGGAGATGAGGGAAGAGAGAGGGACACGGAGAAGGAAATGGAGTGAAGAGAAAACAGGAAAGAAGGAAAGAGAGAGGGTGACGGCAAAAGGAAGAGAAGAGAGTGATCAAAGCAGTAGTGAGAGACTGAAGCGCGTAGAGTAGAAGTTGATAATCTACTCTGAAGTAGTGGTCTGCGATAGTGGAATTGTGTTTGGGAGAGCTGAGCTGAGCTGAGCCCCTGGGATTAGTAGGAGTGTGGGACACAAAGTCCACACGACTCGAGCGGCTGGATGAGAAGTGAGAGCGAGGGAGTGTGTGGACAGACTGACTGACTCTGGTGGCAGTTGAAGGCTGCCCAGCCAACCAGGCAGTCTGGACTGGTGGTTTACCCACCGTATAGGAAGTGAGCTCATATAGCACAGGGACGCTAGTGGTTTGCCTGCTGCATCCTCTCTTGCCCAAGGCCTAGATTAACTAATTACCCCTCAGACTGATGTGATGACATGTTGGGCCACAGCATCACTGAAGTGACGTCCCATGGTGGGTTTCTTGTACCTTCGTTTGTTAATTTGAAGTATTTTTCTATTTATCTCCTGTTTTTATATTTTGAGGTCGATTTTTTCAAAGTTGGTACTAGTTTTGTGCTTCCACTTGTTCTACACTATTGCTCTCTGTTCTTTCTCTATTGTCCGTTTTAGCGGTGCTGTGGACAGGCTTTCTATTGTAACAGGAAGTGGTCACTGTGTGGAACCGTTTATTATTGCGCATTCCTACATTTTTGTCTATCAGGCCGGTGTGTACCGGTGAGTGCGTGGGTGGATATAATTGTCCTAGTGTAAACACTAGCCCCTCAGCTGGTATGTATATACACGCTATTGGATACAAATGACTAGTACATACAGTTCTAGTAAACTTTGGGCTTTATGCATTATGTATTACAGAGGTATTCGTTCACCACATACAGTTGAACCAGCCTGACGTTCTGAGTAATGTATATACTGAATGCTTAATAGGGGGGGATTTTTTCGAGAAACAAGACTGCAAAAATTGCAGACGTCGGCAAACATTTTATCCACGAAGTTTTGTGGCTGTGAATCCGTGAAGGTTTTATATTATTATCGATTGCTACGCTCTGCGGAAACTGTTGACTTGTTTGTCACTGGCCGGAAAGCTATGTAATACACATCATTAACCACCAGAGTTATTTTTTTTGGTCTGATCATAATCAGCTACGGTCGAAGCTATGGTTAAGTAGATGTGACGGTGCATATATTGCATCACAATTCTTTTCGTGTGATTGCCGTATTACGTGATCCCTAAATCATCTTATTTGATAAACCATAGCTATGTATACTGTATCAACATCGCAAATGATGTTTTTCTCATTTTCCTCACGTGATCGTTGAGTTCTACCGTAGATACCTTTCACGTATTTCGGGTGTGTTTGTGTATTTTAGAAGGCCCTGATAGAGAGATTAAAGGAAAGACAGGCACAACTTGCTGTGGGTCGTTACCAGCTCGAAAAAGCAGCTGAAAGAAAACAGCGAAGCGCGATCAGGTAACAACACTTCCACAACATCTTTTACCCACACATTATAATAATACATGTGTAAATCTTATATACAAAATAAATCCTCCTATATACACACATCATATGGTGTACAGTACATGTGTGACATACGTAGGTATTGGTTTAAGAACATAGGAAGCAGACAATCAGTCGTGTATGCGTGATGTTCTTGCTCTAAGTGTTCGATCCATTTAGTGTGTATAAATTAATACACCTACGTACGTACTGTACTGAACACAGATTGCAGAAAACAGGACTGCTCCTACAAAACATAATACTGGTGAGTGAGTGCTTTTAATTAAAACTCTGCACGTCTGCATGTATGTCACGGTGTGCAACAGATGTGCGGTAGCAGCATGCTGCGATATGTGCTATAAATATGTATCATACTATTAATCTATATATCTGTATAGCTGTTTGGGTATAACGTTTGGTGATAAAATAATTTTTTACTATATACATATTCACCAGTGATGGTATGTATTGGAAAAAGGTATGATGGGATTATGAGAAATTTAAGGTGGCTCGCTCAAAAGCCAAGAGGGATTTTAATGTCATCTTTTTATACAATGTGGCTTCTTTGATGAAGCAAGAGGGGAATATGCCATCTTTGATTGTGCGTAGTTGTGTAATAGTCCCAGTCGTTTTAGCTTGTGCCCTGCTTTATTATACTGGGTATGTTGAAGGAAGCAACCTGTCGTGGGAGAGGAAGTTGTAAGTAACCCTTCACCTTTGCTAGATGCCATCCACAAAAAGGAAGAGTGACTAGGTTTGGGGGAGGAGATGAGAGGGTAAGGACACACTACAACATGTAGCTCCCTAGAGAGGGAGCCGCATATGCTGCAACTGCGAAAGTCTTTGTGGGTAATCTCCTGTGGGCATAAGTCGCTAAACCAGATCTTTTACCATTTCCCAGGTTTGGTAGTAAGCGGTGTTCGGCTCAGGGGTTATCGGTCTGATGATATAGCTAACGAGTAGGAGGAGCCGTTTCCTGTCGGCTCTGATGCAAACAGATTCTTCTCATACTTGACATGTTTTACTGTGACAACACCACAGTAATATTAGGTTGAAACATCAAGAGAGTGGTAGGTGACCTTTCGGTGATTGGTGTAGGGGCTGAGTTTTACCTCTAATTACTGGACCTTGATTCTTCTGGGTACTATATGATCAAAAAGTGCTAGAGGCCATTTTATTCCTTGTGAAAATGTAATATAAACCCCCATTTGGAAGTATAAGGTGGCTGGTATATAGTACTTGAGGGTAAGCTGTGTGTGATGTAAACTGGTGGGTGGCCCCTTTAATCAGGATATCCTCTGTGGTAACATCCTGTGATAATGTGGGAGCAGTGTGTGTGTGTATGGACTTACTGATCTAGCAGAATCAGTCTAAAGTGGTAGCTACGTAGCTATAATGGAGAGGGTTTAAGTCACGTCAGCCCTGTCTGCCTTGCAGAATGATTCCGGGGCAGAGCGCACTAGAAGAGCACGCAAATCTGTTAACTACGCGGAGTTGAATGATGTCTACCTTCCTCCGCTGGGACCGAGCGACTTCATAGTATCTGGTACCCAGCCGAGCCAAGCTAAGCCATCCGGAGAGATGGCGAGTCGCTGCACGGGCACCAGAGCTTCACGAAGACTCAGAGACCTTGGTGCTGACAGTGGAGGAGACTCTGAACAACAACCAGTCAACAGAGCTGGAGACCATCTCAATTCGGGCAGCGTCGACACCTCGGCCAACACCGACCCGGCCTCAATTTCACCTCTTTCGTCTGAAACTGTCGGAGTGTCTCGACAATTCGGGGACATTGGTGCTGATGTTGAAAAACAGGGAAAAGAGTTTGGTGCAGGACAAGAAGCTTCGGATTCTGAACAACACATAAGGTCTCTAACTGGCGATTTCTTTGATAGAGTCGCACTAAAGGCCCCGTGCCAATTGAAGGCAAAGGAAGAAAAGTTTCCACTCACTGCAACAGTGTCGGGTTTGTGCTGCACTTCAGAAGAGGGCGGTGATTTGCCAGCTGCTAGCGATGGCACATTTCCCTCCACTTCTGACAAAATGTGCAATGGTTCAAAGTTGTTGGACTTCAATTGCCAACAATGAATCACGGCATGCAGTCATGGGATATATTTATTGTATTATTGTTTGTGTTTCTTTGTGTTCATAATGGAAAATTTTTAATGTTTATTGTATCATCTCTTGCCACTTAAGTAATTTGTTGTGTTTTTAAGCATAATAATATTATTACTTTGCGTTGTGAGATCAAGCTATGGTGGTTTTTCGTTTCTGCAAGGCTATAAACCCAAAAGCGATATTTATTAGCGCTAGAACGACACTATTAATCTCTGGAAAAAGTTAATTATGACTTCCTATTGATGAATGTGTGGAGTGATGAGAAATTGATAAACAACAACAATAAACACACAAAATATACATAATACATTGCTAACATTTTTGACAAGGAGTGATATACAGTTTAAAGTGGAGAAGAATTCTTACACACAAAAGAAAAGAAGAGTTGAAGTGAGAACGAGTGAAATCCACAGAAAATTGTGTAAACTAAAAAATTCAATTTCTTAGGATTCTACTTGTCTAAGCAGTCAAAATGTCGTGATGAAGATCTTCTGTGCTGTGAAATAGCTCACGTATGATAGAACCTGCTAATCTGGTATTGCAGTAGTATAATTATACACAAACAAGTGACAGTGGTACATGTACATCTTATGGAACTAAGGACACATCATCTGACAAAACAGACCCACTATAGCAGATGCTGAAGAGGGACAGTTGAGCTCCCTGCTTCATGCAGTAGAGAGTCTGAAGTGAATGGGGTTGCAGCTCCGAAATCTCCACAGGACGACGGCGTTAGTAGCTTGAATTCTGCTTCGCCGCCTTCCAGGCCAACAGCAGACGAGCTGTCGTCCAAGTAAACGTTTATCATGCTACTGAGGTCCGTCTCGGGCCCAGAATCAGCACTCGCTACGGAATCTTCCGGAGTCTTTCCGAGCATTGGTCCAGTGTAAGAGTCAACACTTCCGACTGGGGATCCCGTTGGTGGTAGGACTGGGCTGTCATCTAGGTGATGTCCGTTGCTGCATGAAGTGTATGGGAGAGGGTATCCAGATGTGGAGGGAGGTGAGAAGGTGGGTCCGTCCGGACTGTAAGTCATCAGGGATTGCGGGGAACTGGGAAATTCGTGCATGTTACCTACTGAGGGAAGCGGAGGAAGCGTGCCGTTGGGACCGTAACCGTTCGTCGGGGACGTGACTGGAGCGGTGCTCCACTGCGAGCTCGGGTATGCCGTTCGTCCGTTGGCTGGGCCGCCGTTGCAGGGAGCGTACGGTGACGGAGCCCCGGCAGCGAGCCCGCCCCCGGCTGTTGCGGGAGACGGGTATCCGTATGGGTAGGACGCGGTCGGACTGTAGTATCCGTTGACGGGCGAATAACCGTCATTTCTTGGACCCTGCATGTACTGCGACTGACTGTATGGAACTCCCTGACGCGGCATTCCCGGCTGGCCCAGTCCGATATGCGGCGGGAGACTCGTCGGGCGCTGGTAGTTTACGAACGGACCGTAAGGATGAGTCATATCTACGGGGAACCGCCGGATCGGCTGCTGCTTCTTCCTCTTGGGCTTATACTTGTAGTTGGGGTGCTTTTTCATGTGGGCCTCTCGCAGTTTCTTCGCCTCTTCGATATACGGCCGCTTCTCCTCGTCCGAGAGCGCCTTCCACTGGGTCCCCAGGCGCTTGCTGATCTCGGAGTTGTGCATCTTGGGGTTCTCATCTGCGATCTTCTTGCGCATCTTCCGCGACCACACCATGAACGCGTTCATGGGTCTCTTGACTTTGTCGTCGTCCTCTTCGCTATGCGGCGACTGTCGCTCGGGCTCGACGGGAGGTGGCGGCTGCATGGCGTAGCCGTAAGGAGGGGGATTTGGAAGTGACATGATATGCATCACAGCGGCGGCTGCACCGGCAACGGGGAGAGGATGAGGTCGAGAGAAGTGTCCGGGGAAGAGCAGAGAGACAGACGCGGGATAGTCTGAGAGCTGTCTACTACTGATAGATAGAGGAAGCAACCGTCACTTTGTCTGTAGTAAGGCACTTCGTTCGTTCCTGGACCTCGCTGTTGGCTCCTTTTATCCTAGCGTGGAGAGATTTGGGGGTGTGTGCGCGACGACACGCGTGCGCGCGCGATCACCAAGATTTGATTTCCGGTGGTGGTCTACGGTGTGTGTGCATTGCAGTGCGTACGTGCAGTGCCGCATCGATCACAGTGGTTCAGTACCGCCGTTACAGCTAGCATTTGGTCTTTAGCTAGGCTATAGAGTCTAATTTATCAGAGGTACGAGATACGCGACGTGTGACAGAGTGTATACAAGTTGCAGTTTTTTGGGCCCCTAATCTACGTTTTTGTTCGTTTGTCGTGCAAGAAGTAAACCTGTGTTGCAAGAGGCACGTTTTTAGCCGCCACATGCATGTCCAGTGCTCCACGCATTCGCTTCGCTGATATATCTCACACCTATACATCACTCGGTAGCTAATGAAATTCATTATACTGCTTGCGCGGTTAGCGTATCATGGATGGTCAACCAAAACTTATTATCGAGTGGCTATCACTACACATAACAATAGATATGCAGGGTTAAAATAATAAATAAAATTATGATCGAGTCCATAGAAGAGATAAAAAATAATATGATAGGAAGAAAGAGTCAGTCGAGAGATTTAGCAGTTGCTCCTTTATTCTGTATGGTTGCTGTGTTGAAATGGCGACTTATCGGCCGTGCGGGCATCGACTCTCTTCTCATGAAGAGCCGACTGAGAACCATGAGCGTTCTTCTTGCATTCAACACAACGTGCTCCAAATCAATCACCTGTGTGCGTACACACGACGATACGGGTAAAATAATACGAAGTATACAAACATAGTCTGTTTGATGTCTCATTCTATACATGAAGGTTTATACCAAGTCTCATATCCCATAGCAAGGCTTTACATCACACGTCTCCTTTTACATAGCAAGCATGTGTGCCATCATTTTTAATAAAAGAGGCTCATGTCATTATACACCCTAAAGGGAGGGAGCATTAAAGGCACTACAAATTATCGTTAAATCATGGACAGGAGTGCTTTGTGACGTGGTTGTTTAATGGGAGCATGCATGTAAAAGTGAAAACGGCACCAGTCAAAGGGTGCCGATATAAGTAATGTAGACTCACGGGCTCCTGAAGGTGTTGTATTTCTAGGAGATCTTCGAGTCGGACCACTTTCTCCAAGAAAGCCTTTTGACCTGGATGCAATGTGTGTGTGTGCATATGAGAGATATAACTGTATCTCCTCTACGTGTGTATGTGTGTGTGTGTGCGCGCGCGCGCTCTGTGCTGTGTTGTTGTGCGTCTGTGCTTCCAAGCCGTTTGGATTTCGGCGACTATGAATGGTGTCCTTGTTAGATCAGACCTAGAGGTGTTCACACACGTCTACACAAAGCTGTTAGGTAATTACTTTGCGGGGTGTTTGAAAGTGTTTTAATGTTCTTTGTGTGCCTTACATAAGATGGGAGGGCCAATACAAGCATCTGGCACAAAAATAAAGGGGTGTTTGCTTCTGTAATGTTTGGGCCACATAGCAACTGTAGTTGACACACCGGTACCCCTAGACCATTAATCTAACACTCGTTGCAGATCTACAGTGGAATATCTCAATACTCCAGCCACACTTGGGACCTGGCTGCGTTAGGGGAGGTAGCTGGGCTTAGATTAGCCATGGTCCACTGATCGTGCTATTATATCATGTATGGAAAAGCAATTCCTTTCCTACTGATGGTGCCTAAGCAAACGTGTGTGTGTGTGTGTGTGTGTGTGCGTGCACTAAGCTACAATTTCGCCAATGAGTTGAAATTCACGAGTGGATAGAGTAGATAAAGTAATTACAGGATATGTGGCTCCAAGCACCCCAGCCACCAACCACTCCAATTATTATTGGAATTACATGTGCAGCAGCAGCTCGGAACAGGAAGTGTGCTGTGATTAAATTCACGAAGTACACGCAAAGTGGCTGAATTAGTGAAAGATAGTCACACTACACAACCGTTTTCAGCTCTATATAAACCAACATACTAGCTAGAGGAGCTATTTGTAGGGAATGGAAGACATTCTTGAAAAATAGGGTGAGTTGTTTGGAGGCTAAAAGTCGCCCACCATTGGCTTTCGGGCGTGCCAGTTATCAGTGGGACGGCAACAGATGATATCAATGTTTATTGTCTCAAGCAAAAATTGGCTTTGGCTAACTACTTTAGTGGGGGCCTCGTGGCAACATTGATTAGATAATTCTTGATCCACCGGCCCATATATACTACGGGGAGGCAGCATATACGCCTCACCCAGGGAAGGTACTAATAGTTTAACCTGTGTACCGCCAACTGTGTAAAAGTAGCCATTTGCAGACTAATTCACTTATCGTTGACATGTTCACGAACCATTTCTTGCCTTGGTCCCAAGAACATTTACTGCAAAAAAAGTCACCCGTAGTTTAGGGGTGCTATCGTTCCTGCACGGTCAACACTTCCTGAACATGGGTTGTGATAAGGAGGCTAAGTGATGAATATGCTGAGTAGTTTAATGGCTGTATCATGTTGCTAATGAATATTGGAACTCAGGCGAATGTTAAGGCTAGGGCTGGAGACAATGCTTACGTGGATGGAATATGGTGAAATTTGGTAAATCAGTGAACATTGCATTCGACCATAGTCTCATAGAATTACATCACAGGGTCTAGTCACGTCTGTAAGTACGTGATGTAAGAGAGAAATGTGCTGTATCTTTGCATCCCAATTTTATCACTGACAGACAATATTATGACAAGAGGTGTGCGTGCATCTCTCTGTGTGTGTGCGTGCCGGCATACGTATTCTAGTGCAGCACCTATGTGAAAAATGCTTCTTGCTGGGGGGATCGGGTAACAGATGGGAACTATGAGTTTCCGTAGACAGCTCTCCAGAACTCTGTGGATCTCGCATTAGATCTCAACAGGAGGGTACTGTGTCCAAACACATTCCATTTTCTGAATTTAGCTCATGCTCGAGCTGGTAAAGCGCAGCCCAGAGTGAAATATAGCCCTGCGGCTTATAAACAAGGTAGTGTTACATAGCCTTGCCATACAGGGACTGGCGACTGCACGAGCTGCATTTTTGGACTGTTGAGAAGCGCGAATGAAAGCCAACCGTGTGCCCGTATAAGCAGACTGCTATGATTTGAAACGGTGGGAGTGAGAAGCATAAGGGAAGACTGGGGATCTGAGCACTTTGTGTGTGGTTGACCTTGGGGCATTGCAGAGACACAAATAAGAAACCCAGGTCCCCAAAACAGTGGAATGAATACGTCAAGTTTCCCTGAGTTACGCTCTGCCACATTCTAATGGGTGCTAATATTCACACTCGGAGCCTCGAGCGACCACAGGCAGCTGATTAGCACCAGGCTCAACGGGTGAAAAAATACTTGAGGGCCCGGGAAGAAAACAGCGACGTCCAAGTGCAAGGAAGCCAGACTGAATGCAGTGATGGAATTTGCTCTCCCAACAGGAGCAGGGGAAGAGCGCCATTGTTAGAGAAAGAGCCGAATTTATGGCAGGATATTTGACAGAGTTTAGGGAATGATAAACAAAACCATAAAGATGCAATGCGCAGACTTTCCCTGGAGAGTGAGATGCAATGTTATTACGTAAAACCCGATTCAGAGGCGAGGTTTTTTTACTGGAGTGTTGGTAGCAAGGTGTAGATGTGTTTTGGCTATCTTTCGGAGACCACGTTCTGAAAATCATAGTGTGTGTGATTCTTCATTGGTGGTGGGGGTCTACTTGATGCCATGGAAACCGGTACGCAATGTGGTTGTATAATTGTGTGATAGATGGACTGGTCGGCACTGTGAGTGAGCGGGGAGCTCGGGGTTAAAGTGGGGTCGAAAGTCTAATTAGTGGTAATTCGATTAGGGGAGGAGCGCTGATTGGGTGCAGATGTGCAGTATTCCCAACTTCAGACATAACCATAACTCTTGCATGTCGATAAACACCAAATTTTCCAAGAATTGGGGCATTTCCAAGACCTACCCATGACACCCTGATCATTTGCTAGTGTTTACTTATATCCAGGCCTTTGTTATGCAGCGTTTAACCTAAATACGTGCGGACTTCATTTCCAAGACCACACAAAATTTCCTGAGAATTGGAAGGCATATCATTAACAGGCCTTTTCCTTTGCAGGACTAGTCATCGCTGCTGTAAAAATAAGCAAAGTGCATACGTGTTAGGCATCGTTTTTACTTGAATACTTTGAATTCTTTTATGGACACGCTTATCTGCAAACTAGACCGTTTAGTGACACACATGAACATGTATTCTCTTTAACACGTGTACATTCCTGGCTATTTATGGGGACCGTATCCAATGTATTAGTATCATGTAGCCCAGCAATTGTGTGTGGGGGACATTGTTTGAATGTGTGTCTTTGTCCACACGTGTATACGTCTAAATGCCTGTCTCTCTTTCCTTGACCTGTTTAGGTATTTGAGATATGTGGGTTATGCTAGATGCACACGTGTGTTTGATTACCAACTGGATGGACAAACATCTGAGTTTGGTATGCACGGACCGAATTTTAGAAGCTGTTTTTCTGTGATGTTTGCATCGAGATCGATTCCGTTTTGCCAGGTCATGCTGGCCGGAGCTTTGCCCGTGCAGTACATGGTGGGTTATCGGGCCAGCGAGTGGCATCACGTCACACACACACACACACACACACATTGGTAGAGGGAGTGAAAGTCTGACTCGGAAAATTTCTCAGATCGTGTTCCACTGAAAGTATCGGGATTAGCATCCGCTCCACTGCACCCACTTGCAAGCACACACGACACACAGGCAGGTGCATAAGCACACACAACAACCCACGCAAATCTACAATCTGGTTAGCCCGTTTCCTCCGCATGAGGATATGGGGTGGATACTACGCCCACCCAAAGTTTACGCTCGTAAGTATCTGGTGTATGTATTGAAAGGTAGTGGAAACATCTACCTATTATTATAATGGTTGAAGAAACAACCAACTTATAAACTAAAACTGACATGCACACTACACATATTTTGAAACTGTAAAGAAATAACAGGTTGCTTTCTGATTTCACCACCACATGGTGGAATACAGGCCCTCGACATCTGAACGTTTTAGCGAAAATGCTTCCGAGAAACGGACACAATCCTTTAGAACTCCAGTGATCTGAGTACAGTTGCAGGAACCTTAATTGCCCTGAAACATTACTGCAGCTACAAATATTCGCTGTAGCTTCAGTTGTCAGCGTTCATTATATCAATAGGCACCAGAATTTGTATCGTACAGCATCTCATGCTGTCCTTGAATCACTACTGCATTAGTGCCTGGTCGAGGCAACCCTTAATTGCGTGTTAGCGGCAAGTTTGAATGTGGAAGTGAATTCCTCCAGATGAGCTCAGTTCGGAGCTCTAGAACACACCTTGTAGTACGCCTTGTATCAATGCATACGCTGCGAGGCACGTATTAATGGAGTCGTGTTAGCTACTAGTGTGTGAGACACTCCATTTCATTTGACGGCAGTTTAGCACATTGTGCAAGTCTTGTACTACCCCAGGGCTCTAGTTGTTTGGGGGAAGGGCCCGAACAAACAAGTGTAAACTTAAAAATTTATCTTTGTGCGGCTTGACCGTGTAATCATCCCAGTTCTGAGAGAGGTGATAGAGCTAAGTTGAATGCGAGACTAATTCGTAACTTTTCATCGCCAGTTAGTGGCTTTTCAGCGCTAATTTCAGAAATATGCAGCCTCACACTCGGTGCAAAAAAGCCATTGATACATCACAACACCAATTCCCTTCCACAAACGCACACACAAACTCGAGGACGGCTTCCTTGTTTTAGCAATTGTGTTGTCGGGGCTGGTTTGCACCCGAAAAGGCATGATTTCTGGTGTTCAAACACAAAACCAGCCTCCTTTGTGGAGGTAATCACGCAGTTCTTGCATCCCAGGTTTCCAAGCCGACAGCTGTCGGCAACCATACGTTTACGTACACAAATTAAGGCTGTAAATCACGTAGCATGAGGCACTCATGATATGCGTGTATGTTAATGCACGTAGTTCTAAAAGTGGAGAAAAGGGATAAAGTGCCCACCTTCCATATGTAGCACAGATGTATGGGCCAATATGGGAAAGGTGTGGGTCGACGGACGAACGTACCTTTGTATGATATGGCTATTGTGAACACACCAGGGCCGGTGCACTGCAGAGTGTAGTTTATGGAGCCTCTCCTGGGGGAAACAGAGGGAGATGAGATGGAGGAGAAAGCGAGAGAGAAAAAAGTGAGATGAAGTAGGAAGAGAAGGTTGGTGGGGTAAGGAGAAGAGGAGAGAGGGAGAGAAGAGTGGAGTGACAAGTCAAGATGGTGTTTCAGGACCCTCACTTTGACTGCGGTATTCCTCTGGTCTCAATGATAACTCCGTCCTTCTCCAGTTGCGTGTGCGTGAACCTGTGAGATCCACGTGGCTTTCTGAACAGGTACATGCTGTTCGTATGCTGGAGGAAGTAAAGATGGCATCATAATAGAATCAGTAATAGAATCACAATCATTAAAACACTGCGTATAGACGCATGGTGGTCCTCCAACATGGTACACGAGGGGTAATATTTGGCATGTAGTTGCCAAGCAACCGCGTTTTGTACGGGACGTGAATGCTGGAATGCAGTAGCTTGGGAACGAAGGGAATTAAACCAATTTACACAATTGATGTGGAGAGATGAAACTAATTAGGGTAGATCACCAGATTAAATATAGGTGGCTGGCTAAACTTGAGGTTTTCCATCATAAAGCCTCAGCAAAACACGATTTCTGGTAATTCAACTTACCGACTGGCCAACTTTAGCTCTCACTGCATCGAGATACTCTGGAAATAAGAAAGAACGTAGAATCAAATTTGTGTCAATAGAAACACTAATGGTTATGTTAGAGACAAAGGCAGCTCCTCTCTGTGGAGTTATAGCTGTTGAGTTGTGTGGCGGTGTGGCAGTTTACGACGGCCAGCAAGATTCTGGCCGAATGCCCAGTTCTTGGTGAGAAAGGCAAACTCTTGAAAGAGCTCTTCGGCAAACAAACAAGAAGATTTGGGGTGGGAGGTGAGGGAAGAGAAGGGGACGGATGATATTTTAGGGCAGTTGCTTTCCCTTGAGGATCACAGGAAGAAATGCCAAATGATAACATTCGAACCAGACCGAACATGTGTGAAGTACTACCCCTTCAGTGGAAAAATAAACCTGGTCTGAAGAGGGACACACAATGAGGGAGGCGTGCCCGCGCTCTTTGTCTGCTACCGAGGAATTATTTACATAGCATTTCCCGTTGCCACTGCAAAGGTGTTCTATATATACTGCCGTGTGACTCTACTCTTGTTGGGTTTTTCAAAAATTGTCACCGCTATGGGGCAGTATTCGACGAAGACAGCAGTACTTCGTTCCCCACTTTACCACTATGGCCTCTTGCTGAGAGTCTAGGTGAATCGGTTTTGTGTATTTGGAAGTACGCTTGGGGGGGGGGGTAAAAGGGTGGATTGAAATGAGTTGCACACGGCATGCCGTTCAAATCTTTCTACCGATTAATGACGGCTTGCAGATCAAACGCATAGCTCCACTCACCCCAGTGTTCTAGGCACAGTACAACAAGGCCGGGCTACATTCTACGCTACTTAGGTCGACACGTATAGTACTATTGACAGTGGTTAACCCTCGTGCTCCGGCACTGCGCAGCGCGTGTTAAGCAAGGCTCATTTGATCACCGAGTTACCTCAGCCGGCTTAAAAACACACGTGTCACTAGACATCTCTCTTTGAATTCCATGTGTACTTAGCAGTGTAGCTGGCGTGTTTGGCTGAAAAGATTACCATGTTCTCTCTTGTCCCCTGTGTACGAGGACAAGCTCGCCAAACCACTTAACACGAAGGTTGTTTTCTTAACAAATCAGACGAGATTGAAAAACACTTGCTTTCTAGTCCACCCTATACGTAGCCGTTCTGTCCATTCACATTGGTGGGTTGCTTTGTGCCGAGAACCCGTGTCCAACTATCGGTAAAAACAGCTGAAGTTTCAAAGGAAATTTGTGTTGTAGACGACGCTACAAAATTTTTTCCAAGACATACGCACATTCATAACTCCACTGAAACCTATACACATTACTCCAAAAAGTCAATCAATAAGCTTTAATCACCCTCAACCAGCACTATACAATTCAAGCCTGTGTACAGCATGCTTCCAATTGAGCATACACAGTGTAAGTTGCTGATTATTTGGCAAGAGATATTAGCAGGTGGAACTACTGCATTCCCGGAGAAGACCTACAGGGACATAGTTGTTTTAGCTTATCAACCATAGCTTCTTTGAAATTTGAAAAAGTAACCCAATCCCACCAGTTTATCTGGAGAGGAAGGGGAAGAGGTAGGGTGGCCTGCAGGAAACCCACTCCCCCGTCAAAGAACTGGGCAGGTGGAAGTTTTTCTTGCCTTTCTCATGTGGAAATGATAACACTACGGCTGCTGAAAGCACCACCCACGCTTTTTGCCCAATGAGGTTGGTAGGTGTATGTATGGGGGAGGCGGCCATAACTTCTACTTCCTTTCTTGTGTACACTATTCAATGGAATGATAGCTCGATGGTGTATCGTACTATTATGCCTGGTCTTACCTCTGTATGCGTCTAGCTGCTCCATTAGAGTGTCTGTATGTTCAATCATTGTCTGCAGAGGGAGAAAAATACATTATCCAGGCCTAAATAACTGTTAATAGATGGAGGTATCACTAGTACTTAGTATAATATAGGGATTGGCATGGTACCTAGCATCATAGATGTGCGTATGGGGCTATGATATGGAGTGAATATAAGTAACTCCACCCATGCCAATGGTTAGCCGGAACCATTACATCTTCAGTAGCTACCGACAAGGCAATAATTATGTTTCTGCTTGAAGTAACATCCTATGCATGAGGTGCTAAGTAATGCACCTTGGACAGCACCACTTGGCTTTTTTGAACAGCAGAAGAGCAGAAGACACAACTTAGGGTTGCTGCTTCTTTGATGACCTTCCCCAAATTTGCACGGTGCAAACGAGGTAACGAGGCTAATTACGCAGAGAATAGGCGACCTCTCTTGGAACTAATTAGCAAGCGGTGCCCGCATCTCGGCCCGACTGTACTTGTCGTTTGCGTCACATGATGAAAGGAAGCTCGTAATTTGTAGGTCCTACAGGAAGCTGAAAAACCAAACACTTGAAAATGTTTGAAGTGTCATTTGCACCAGGTACATGTGTACAGTCTGGTGGGCAGGCTGACTGCTCACGGAGTGAAGCAACTTTATCAACGCACAGCAGTGTATATATAGATGCACTGAACACTTTGAAAGAACCCACTAAATAATGGCCAAGGGACACTGTGGTTCTGCCCCATACTAATACATTAGTGTATTATACTATCTCCGAATAAAGGACCCCTATGAAAAAATGACACATTCAATGTCCCCAGAGTATCCCTTATGTAGTGTAGATATCTATGTATGTACACATTTCGAAAATTCTCAATTTTGTATAATATTCTCAAGTTTGTATTTTGTCTAATATTCCTGCAAAGGAGTATTACTGGAAATGAGCTAGCCTGGGAGAGAATAAGCCCCATATATAGCTTTTCTCAACACGCATCAGTGTAGATATCTATTTATACACTTTGCCTTTTCGAAATTTCGTGAAACCATTGTAGTATACTACGTATACAGAGCGGAAATGGATTAGCCTAGCGGAACAAAGCTCACTCTTTTCCACCGGAGCACCAAAGGATTGAGTACGGCGTGTTTGCGAACAATTTTCCGTCAGTCTTCCAACAGGCTCTACCTTTGAACCCCGTACAAACGGTTAGAATGTCACACAAGACATCTACGTACGTACGTAAGCTGAGAGATGAAAGCCCGCACGAGTGGGTTTGTTTACACCAACCTTCCCTCGAGGCAGCTCGTGCATGTCTTCGCTGCAGAAACCTTCAAACGCTCGAGAAAGTCAACAAACGATGTTTGCTCACATTTTTTCATGATTGCTTCCCAGACAGTGTTGGTGTTAGGGAGACATGTGATGAAGAATCATTGGATATGCTCAAAGGTATCGGGCATTACGTTCACACAGACTAACACACACGTATATTTTCATTGGACTATACTCCCATCAGCTCATTAGTATTAGATGAGTAGGGGTCTGAGTTAAAATTGAGCCGGGTACCCAAGAAGTTGACCCGCATTCTTGGAATGCCACGTATCACTTAGCTCAAGTGTCTCACAAGCGTATTACATCCTACGCGACGATCGCTTGTTACGTATACAGCTCATATCCAACTTAGTATTTGCCGCTCTCAAGTGGAAGTATGTTTGTAATGCAGAATGGAATTCGGAAAATTCCGGGGATTAAACTGCTGAGTTGGCGTGCATAACAGGCACTTATCAACAAGTGTCTTACATAAGAGTGTTGTTTGAGATTTGTAACGGTACAAGTTTGTAACACATGGAGTCTAATTCACATACATCATACAGGCAGTAAAGGTCATGACTCCTTCATGTAGGGTTCTATCATCCTATAAACAGGCAAAATATGTCCTTAATGCATAGGACTGTTGATATAGATCAGGGGATGTATCCTATAACTGTAGTCACCCTGACTCATTGGCTCTCTGCACGATGGTATGCTCTCCCCAGTACATAAACATGGGGAGCCCAGCTCCACACAAGGAAACAAGTGGCTTGAGAAAGGAAGTGGGGTTTCCCATTGTGCAATCCACTCCAGCCGTGCTCAGTCTCCTGCCCCAGCTAGCCTGGAAAGGAAGCGGGGACCAAGGGACAAGAAAACCGACTTCTACCGGTGGCGAGACTTGCGGCAGGAAGAAGGGGCACGCCACTGGTTTCGATCTAGACCAGTCGATTCCGTTTCAGTGGTTGCTGGTTGAAAACTCACTTAAACCGGAGGTCAATGGCTTGGATTCGACCTGTATTAGTAGGCTTGAGGCCATGGGAAAATCTCAGAAGCACGAATCAGCTATCAGCTAGTGTTTACGTGCTGATCCATTAAAACCAGACTCATATGAATATGCAGCCCAATTCTTTACCTGCCAAGAAAGAAATATGAGTGGTTTGGTTGGAGCAGGTGTTTGCAGTGCACGGGAAGTATACTGTCAGAGGAAACATTAGAAGCAGTTACAGACTTTGCCTGAATGCAAGACCACACAGATTCTGCCAGGAGAGGGTTAAGGGGGGGGAGAGGCTGGGATAGACTTTGGAGTGGTGCCGTAGTATCGTAGCGTGTGTGTGTGTGTTGGCTCTGTGCATGAGTGCCCCAGTTTGCTGCGCACCATAGGGCCCGGGCCATTGTGGGAGCGGGCGCAGTGAGTGGGTCTGGGTAGTGAAGAGAATCGGGTACGTTTCCGCCATCCTTTGTAAGGACGAGGGCTCGATCTGTGCGGTTAGTAACCGTAGCCCGGATCTAATCCGGTTACACTGGTTTAGAGTTGGAGTTGCGGAGCCAAATGGACGAGAGTTTTGGAAGGCAGGAAGTCTTGCAAATCGAATAACGGTGGCAATTCTGGGCGAGGATTTTACCATAATCTTTAATTGTATTAATGTTGCCGCGGCACAGGGGAGGGTGTATTATGATAATGTGTGTCCCCAGGAGACACTTTTTTGCAATTTTTCGAAAACTTTCGCGAGTGTTTTTTATATTTCACTTACCACAAGCGGCTGCGTGACCGACATAGACACGGTGTACGTTTTTGTCAACACATCAGAAGCACGCGTAAAAAACAAGGGACCATCTGAAAAACACCTCGTAAAGCACGTAAAGGGTTTTCTCGGCAGCTCAGACCTATACGTACGTGAATCAGGTGTCCAGTTAATGAATGGTAGAGTAGCAGCAACAAAGAAATATTAGGGGACCAGCCCTGAGCCGACACCTCATTTCTAGGTTACTCTTGTAGCTACATACATGTGTGTGTGTGTGAGTTAGTGTGTGGTGGCGGTACATTCTCCCCTGTGATTGTCTGGTAGCGACCATCCACAGCTCTTTACTTTGCACCTTTCCGTCCCTTTGTCTCGCTCTGTTTAACCGAGTGATACGGAACACGTCTAGGTGTAATGGGATTTGCTGGTGCTCAGGACGGCTGTATAGGACCTGGTTTTAGGTACAAGAGAGACCTTTTAGGCAATTTGTCGCCACATTTGAAAGTGAAAATAGTGCCGTGGAGACGACAGGGTCCCTACAAGGTGAAAAAATCAGCCGTTCCATTGTGCCCATGGATAACTGCATAAACAGACACACTCTCGGTCAGAGTTTCATGCTGGAGTGTGTTCTAATGACACAAATTGAGATATTCGTAACCCTTGCGACGCTGGTAGTCGCAAACAGCCGGTGTACATGGGCCCTGTTTTGTCAACCCAGAGTAAACGATTCCTCGAAATAAATGTCGCTGAACAAGCGGGTGGATTGTGCCCTTTGTGTCCAAGTCGGCGATGTGCGAGCGTAGGCGTACACACCGTGACAACCGATGCGGACTTTATCAGTGAGTTGTGACCACAAGTGTACTCAAAATTCTCAGTGGGTTTTGCGGTGTAGTGAGCCGAACGCTGCACCATATGCACGTCTTTTCATCACGTAGCACGCCGTTTGCCCCCAGAGTAAAGTGGGAAACAAAAATAAAAGAAAATTACTCACTCCGAGTTTGGTCTTTTCATCTGAGGTTGCGAACAATGCATACCAATCTTTTCAGAATTTTACCCGGCCCTGCTCCCCCCACATGGATTAAAGGCGAGCGCATGACAAACGTACGACGACAGACTTATCTAATCTCTGGATCTACGTTACTCAGACGTTCCTGTGGTCGTCATGGGGGTTGGGGTGGTTGCGAGGACGTGTAGGGGTGACTATACGTGCATATGGTTAAACATGGAGGAGGAGACCGCAACAGTGTGTGTGTCTCAGGCCTACGTACCTCGTAAACTCCACGCAGGCTTCTCAGCTGAAATTCTGCTTCTTGAAGGAGCCGCTCCCGGTCTTGGAATGTCTGAAAGAAAGAATCGATCACGAGAACGTAACCCCCACATAATCACATCCTCGAAAAGATTGTAACAGGAGAAGGAATGAGGATTTCATTAAAAATTAATATTTTAATTTGCCAGGATGTGTCTAATATGAAAGTTTTTAAAGGCAGTATTGGCGTACAATGTCAAGATTTCCTGTTCAAAATGTGATATCACCCCAGGAAGATGGAAGATTTGCAAGTGTGATGCGGTGCAGTCTGGACTCTAATACCAGCAAAACGGGTTTCTTTCGGTTCCCACAATATGGCTTCTTCACACATTAATTAAGCCTGGGGCTGTTTGCTTGTAAACAATTGTCAGTTACCTATTTATATCTACCTCTGCCACACTCCCTCTACAAGAACCACACGACTGGAATTTGCACGCAAGAATCTCCAGTCGCCCTAGGGCAAAGGATATCCTTACCTGATAATAGAAAAATTTCCTAATCCCACACCTTTCCTTAAAAAAACACTCACGGTGTGCCATAATTATCACTCACTTTCCTCCCCATCTGCCACTCTTGGAACCAGGAAGTGTTTCCAAGGATACAACTATTTGAATGGGGTATCTCCAAGAAGTGATAGGCGGGGCCACTGATAAGAGATCAGGAAGAACAGCTCTAAGATTCTGTTTTTTCTGGACGCATTTAACAGGTTGTACACAATGTTTCAAAGTCACATTGTGGCAAAACTATAGCATCCTTAGAGCAGACATACGGATCGCTTGGAAGATGATTGTAATCTTAGATGTAGGATTAATGTTATAATTTGCATAAACAAGCATTCAAATGGCATTGAATAATTAAACTGTGACTATACAAACATCTGGTTTGCGTTTCGTTGGGACTAAATCCCCTTGCATGGCATGCACGCACATTGAAAGTCTTCATAATGTCCTCTGACCCCTGCCGGGCATACCTACGGACGTTGCACCTTTGATGTGGTTTCAATTACACGTTCCACGCCTTTGATGTGCGTGGAGGACACACAAACCAGCTCTGAGCCATCTGCGACTTCTCAAAGACGATATTGGATGGCAGCGAGCATGTGTGCATGTTTGTCCAGGTTGGTTACCACGGTTCCCATGTATTAAGACATTACACATACACAGACCTCACCGGAAAAAATGCTTGTAACATTAGCACTGCTATACCGGTAGCTAAAGAGTGGTATGTACCATTGTAATTCGCCAAATATGGTGTTATAAAATGTTAACACTTAACCAGCCACGGACACATAAATGTGTCCAGAGCCTCCATAAGTCCATGAGAATTTGTATGGGGATTATAATACTAGGCGCTAATACACTATACACTGTACAAATTTAGCTTCCATGGAGTAAGTGAAGGCTTAAAATTGTAATCCGGTGTATAAACTTGTAGCAATTTTCCCACTATAGGACAGGCTGTAACTAGGGATTAGGGAGACAAGAATTCACTTCCTGAAATTCTGGCTGTGGAGATAACCGAGTGCTGACGAGGAAGTCTGGAAAACCGGCGATAAGAATAAGTTCCTGGCACGACTTTGCCCGTCCTTCCACTCCCACTCTCCCTATCTTTGCAGCCGCGCGACGGCCAGCCAAAGGCGTGTGCCCGCCGGGAATCTTCACTCAGGTAGCTACAAGCTATATATAGATCCCGCTTTGGTAGTGTGTGTACTAGCAGAGAGGAACATACAGTCTCCGGTTGGATATGGGTGGGTCTTCCATGCACACTTAGGGCACTAAGTAATGCTAATTTGAGGGATGGATGGAGTAGATGGAGAGGAACCGGTATAAACACTTATCTACTTGGATATTTTGGCTTTATAAGTGGAGATTTCCTTGAAACACAGCCAAGAGGCAGTAAGAGAGATAGGGAGGAAGAAATAGAGACAGAGAGAAGAGATAGAGAGAGGGAGGGAGGGAGATGAGATAGAGAAAGAGAGAGGGAGGGAGGAGGGGAATAAAGAAGGGCTAACCGTTCTGAGCTCAGCATAGAGCTCTACGACCATTGAAGGTCCTCCCAAACTCTGCAGTGTGGCCACGTGCTCGCTGGCAAGTCTTGCGTCTGCCGGAACGTCTCGCAGTGGCACTTCCTCTGCTTGTTTCAGGGCCTCTTGGAGACTGGGACGATCCAGACAGTGGGGAGTCTGAGAGTAAGAGAGAGAGAACAGGAGGTTTTGTCAAGGTGGGTGAGAGGGAAGAGGGAGGTAAGTAGAAGTTTTTCATTTTTTGTGAGATGGAGACAGAGAGCGAGCGAAAGGATAATTCCACCCCATTAACGACTTCATCCCTGTGAGCTAAGCTATTTTTCGGTGTGTGTACCAGGTATTGTGTAAGCCTTGTAATTAATCCCTGTATCATCTCTTGCGACCACAAACTAGCAAATGTACATGTTTACTCTATGTGGTGTTTGCTGCATGCATTGCTCAGCAAAATGCCCTCCGGATATAGACGTAGCTACACAAAGAAGCTGAAACTGTAGCCTGCATTATTTCAATAGCCAGCCGTCCGCCCACGTTCCTGCACCTCAGGAATGGCCAATTAGCTAATTAATGTGTTTTCAAAACGATACCACAGACTGTACTGTACACAGGTCAAAGGTCGCCGCCGGTCAAACAATTACACGGATAATCTGTGGGTAAATTGAGGACTTTCAGAGTCTAGTCGTAAATTAGCAGGTGAAACGAAGAGTGACATAATATGGCCGTTGGCACATTTTAGTCGCACACTCCCTTTTCCCCACAAATTGCTCATTATCATTTCCAAGTATAGGTGTAGATGTGGTGGGGGAGCAAGGAGATATGCGTATCGCGAACGAGAAGATTCTTGAGCGAGGAAGTTGGAGGAGGGGCAATTAAACGTTTCGTTAAGCAGGGACGCCGGTCGCGCACGTGTAATATAAACCGCGACCTGTGTAGGTTATGATGAAATCAACTTTTTACGTGATGTGCAGCATGAGGGTACAAAGGAGGCCAATCGATGCTGTACTAGTTCGTGCCGCACTTTAGTTTTTGAAGGTGGGTAGAATTTGCTGGAGACATAACACATAACTGTGGCAAATGCACTTGAATGTCTCGTGCTGCTTTGACCCTCACCGAACCTGATAAACTATGCACTGTACTGGGGGGCATCAAATGTGCTGTGTGTAATAATGGCAATTGTACCGCAACCAATTACATCGGCGCACAGTCCATTTGACGCTGAAAACATAAAAAAACTCCCCATTTTGGCGACCCACTGCTCTGTTTACTCAGGAGTAATCAAAACAGCTGCTCGTAGCCTTGCAACTGGAAACACTTGGGCATCATTTTCCCTCCATTTTTCTCTCCCAAATGCCGTAGTTTTTTACACACCCATGCAGCAAATCCAATCAGAGGAGACCTCATACCAGCTGCAAATAATTTGGTAGAGTTCCCCATTTCCCCCAGTTATTCTAGCTAAATGTTTTGTATCCTAACTTCTTCTTTCCGGTCTTTTTTTCCCTCTCTTTCTCTCCCTCCATCCTTCCCAATAGGAAGAGCTACTTCTCCCCACATAATATGTACGTAAGCTGTAACCTTGCTAGCCATTTGTACAAAGGATACCTCACAGTCAGTTCTAAAGCACAAATCTTCACCTCCATTAGCTCTGAAAATTCAGAGTTGCCCACTTGAATGATTATGAATCCCTGACAGATGATTCAAAGGGGGAGCGTAGCCATGGTGACAAGCCCATTGAGCCAAACCTCTTCCTAACCTCCCACTTTGTTGCCAGGTTACCCTGGGTAGCCATGGCGACCCTTAATAGCGGAAGCCATACAGCAAACCTCAACAGCAAGTCCGTTCACAGAGGCACATATGGAGGGCTGAACCTTGGCCAATATTCCTAATGTAACAGCTGCAGTCAAGGAGCGAAGCACATGCTATGATATCTGTGGTGGGTTTTTATTGTGAAATATTGGAGCCTTTGGCATCGAGCGAGAGCAGGAAAAAGTATAATGCCGGGACTCGATCGTGCGAGGTTTGAATTGGTGTCCACATGGTTTCAATCTGCCGACTGTGGTTTGAAGCTGTTCCAAAGTGGGCTTTTCGCTGGAAACACGAGAGGAGGAAAAGTTGGAAGGCTTAGCTGCAAAAAGCACGGCTGGAAAAGTATAAGGAAAAAAAGCAATATTATTGGTTAGGGATAGGAAGCATGCGGAGAAGTTCAAAAATATAGGAAGGAGGCAGTCGGGTGGAAAGTAATGGGCACGGGGATGTTTTAAGGAGTAAGGGGCCAGCTTTTGTCTGTAAAGAGCTCATTAAAGCTAGAAGGTGCTCTGTCTGTGCTAATGGAAATAAGGTAGGTTTTACTATAAAACAAGTGCAGGAAAATGTTTCCAAGGGTAGGAGGTTTTGTAGGTCACACCGGTACACCCGCCCCCTCTCACGGACACTTCTTTTCACTGCTAAGTTGCTCCCTCCTACGTACCTCCACTGCTTCACAAAAAGGTCAGCGTGTGGGATTTTTGCGTTTTCCCTCACACGGAGTGAATCGGCCGTAAAGTGGGCAAAGTGGCGAGTTATGGGCATAATGCCCTCATGAATGTGTGATTACACGCGCGCATGTTTGTATTCACTTTTAACGTGTGTTGATGGTTCCAGCTTTTTAAGTAGCTGTGTTCTCATGTCGACAGAGAGCCCTGGAGCGGCGGTTTCACGGAGAGTGTTTCATAACGGGGCAGACCCACGCACGATGCTCACGCTCACTTTTCATTGCGGTAGCAAGTGTATATGTTCATGTATGTACTTGGGATACATGCTCTGTATGAGTCTCTAGTATGTTGCTCGATTCTGCATGATCCATAGCCTGCTTCTGAAGTTATAGCTATATAGGTCTTTGGTGCAACGAGCTGATATATTAGGGTAATTTTAAAATGAACGTGAGATACACGAAAATATGTCGGTATAATTATTAACTACTTTGAGATCACGAACAGATCTTTAAGAAGCAGTAGCGAAAAGGTGCGTGAGTGTGCGAAAGGCTTCGCAGGCAAGTAAGCAGAAAAACAGTTGCAAATTACGTTATCTCAAAATAATACAGGGCATTCCTGGAAACCTCGAGAAACAGTGTCCCTAGGGGACCCGGGCTCTCGAAAACTCACGAAATCCCTTTTAGAAAGTGAAAAACCGTTTTTAAAAATTCAAGCCGCGGCGAAACATAAATGTGTATGTGGATATTATCCGCCACTAGTGAAAACACTATTTCGCAAGTCTTGTGGTGATCTCTGCACTGTCAATAATATTTTTCCACCAGTTACCGTGTGTATAACTCATTAATCCCCCGATAAGAGATTAAGCACGTGATATATACGTATGTAGTTCAAAGCAAATGCTGAAAAAACGGCAAAAAACGTTGAGAGGGGTGTTTAGATGAGCTTAAAGAGCCGTCTAGTTGTAGTACGTGGGGTCACGATTTTGGCAATGGAGTGATTGATAAGGCTTCTGGTCACAGGGTGGGTAGAGAGGAGGTAGGGGGAGGGAGGGAGGGAGGGAGGGAGGAGGGAAGGGTGGGGAAGCTTGGGGTTGGATAACGCCAAGTTGGTTGCCAAGTGGTGGTTGCTAGGCGATTTGCTGGCATGCATACATCAACACACGATTTTCGAGTGAAATTAACAAGGCAAACAAAAATAGTTCTTCTTACGGATGTGTCACGTACCGTTCTCTGAAATAGCTATGTACGTAAACATGAGGAAAAGGGGGATAAATAAACAAACGTCTTCAGAGCCGTAGAAACCGGCGCGGAAACAGTCAAGTGGATTCACGGAAAAAACATTAAGCAGCACACTAAAACAGGCTCCGGAAAAAGAAGACCCACGTGTGCTATCAAAACAGCTGCTTCAGCGAAACCTTATCCTTTTCCGGGCATGCTGCTGTGGGGGCATGCATTATTTATCTGAGTTTGAGTGGGCAATGGGATGCCGGCTTGGGTATGGGTCCACATAGAGTGGCCATTTCCCACCATATGGTGAGGGTGAAGTGTGAAAAACAGACAGGGGTGACTGTGTATGTGTGCCCTTTTGATGGGGGTAGCTGTGCCCTATGGATGGACATGAGATCACCCACTGCTTGAAGAATCTTGGCTGCTGGCTTAGGTAGTAGTAGGGCTGGTATGGGGATGCATTACCCTCACTGAGTATGTGGTTTATAGGCAAAACCCGAAGTTTATACACCTTATATTAGTGGGCACGTGTCGAATCTTTATCAGTTGTAGGCATCTTCACCGTACAGTGGTTTTACACGAGCATTGATCGATGCAAGATGCAAGGTTGGGTGAATTTCTCACATGTTTACACGCAGGGTTTGTCATGGCTGATTCTCATTGAGTGGTCAATTGGCTAATGGACACGAAATATCATCAGCCAACGTGGATTTTAAACCACCGACCGTGTGTGAGAATCGTAGTTAGGTAAACAAAACAGGTAAGGCTTCTTCTGACTGAGCGCACATACATATACCTCACATGTGGGGACAGGCAGGCAGACCAAGTCTCTTTGGTCTTCAGAAACGTGGCTATGGGGGTGAGAAGTGTGGCTCTCTGGGGTAGACTAACCTTTAGTTAGTAGCTAGAGCTAGACAGGCACGGATGGAGAGTGGGTGCCAGCTGGTGGCTGAGACCACAGCCAGCGAAGCAAAGGATGTGGGGGACATAAATGAATGGCATGCTGAATGGCAGAAGGACGGACCTAGGAATAGCTCTCTAAGGATTAGGAGGGGGAGGAGGGAGGGAGGGAGGAAGAGATATAGCTGTAAATTGCCGAGAGTAGCGGTTGGCCTTTTTGAGGAGTCTCCAGTATAATACGTGTGAGTGGGTAATACAGAAGGTGGGAAAGAGGGGGAGGGGAGGGAGTGGAGAAAGAAGGCGACATGAGAGAGTAAGCGTCTAGTGGATTGGAAGAGGCGGAGGGAGAGAGGCTCTGGTGTCCCACCAAAGGATATTTCACAGTAGAGCTCCTTTGTAGGGGACAATGGGAGCACTTCATTCCGGAGTACACTGTGTCTTTGACTGTGGAGTTGCAGGTATATAGCGATGGAGTATACGGTAACCGTGGATAAGCGTTTCCCACGAAACATGCCCTTATTTGTCGCGGGCTCACAGTCACAGGAACCGACGGTAAAATTATCCGTCT